CCCCAAAAAAGCCCTGCCGCCGCCATAGGTATCGGCACGGTTCGCAAGGATGCTAGCAATGTTAATGCATAGCGCATAGCACGTATAACCCATCATCTTCCAGACTAGTGTAAAGCCTGTCCTGTGACTCGTAGAGAGTTCGACGGCTCCTGACTGATCGTCGGTCCTTGCAGAAGCCATGCACCCCAAGACATCTCGGAGATATTCGCGATCTTGGATGGCCCCCGATAGTCGTCAGAGGGGCCCTGCCGTTCCATTCTTGTTATAGGTTTACTATAGAACTTCCTTGATTTCCAGAGTGCGCACTCGCAGGAGGATGAAACGGCACTAGGGCTAATAAAGAAGCATCGAAGTAGGAGGTTATGAAACAGACAAAGATGAACAGGCTTGATGTAATAGGGCGACACCAAAGTGACGGAACCCAAGCAGAAGATTGCTGTTATTCTTAGATGGCAACTGCCGGATTTAGAAGGACCTCTTTCACGCTGCGCTCGGTACCATCTCCAGACTCAACTGGAGGACACTCGCCTGGTATGATGGAGTAAGTACTGGACGTATCTTGAGAGCTGTGTAGGGCTTGGAACAACATGTGGAGACTCGTCTGGTCGCATCGAACATATTGCCAAGGCCCTAAGCCTATTTCAATGTGTCATAAATGTTACCTACCGTCTTTCAGCTGCACCAGGAAACGGATGGAAATGGGGAAGGGGCAAGGAGGGTTGGAAGCAGGGAGAGGGCAGGGTGGCGGGGAAGAGCAGCCTTCGTGGCCGGCGGTGTTTGCTACCGGACTTGGGAAAGCGTGCCTTCTAGTGTCAACTTTGTAGACTTCCAGAAGCCCTTGGAACGCGTAGTAGAGTTTGGAACTATGAAGGTTTGTGTTAATCTTCACCATGAGCCAAGCAATCCTTGTGCCAATCCCTCTCATATCTATCTACCCGAGGGCGATTCGGAGGCTCAGCTTGCAGATGACCCTACCTAAACCGGAAAGGGAGATCAAAGACATCCGAGGAAGGACGAAGTCATAGCGGCCGATTGAAACCTCTACCATACAGAAAAAAAAGTCGTCCACTCAACTTGCATAACACAATGCTCGGGAGCACTTCCTTGCGCAAAGTTTCTAGGCAAGGTCTCTGTCTTAATTGCTCACGCCTTCACTCACACGGTATGTGGTAGTGCATGCAACAAACCGACCCCTGATCGACGACAGCCGATAAGATAACACGCTGCTGCTGTTGCTGCTGTTCAGGCTTTCCCCCTTGTTGACTGGGAACAAGGAATTAAGAAACTCTCATCAACTAGGGTACGTCCTTGCCAATGTTCCTGCGCCCGAGAAGGGTCAGGTTTCTCGAAGACGGGCTGTGGACAAAGAACTCTGCCCCGAGCGAATCTGGGTCCCTGGGCGAGTCTGGGTTCCTGCGCAAGCCATTGAGGCATCGTCAGAGGGCCATCGAACCTAGTTTCAGCCCACGGTGCGGGATAGTCGTCGATCATGTTAGCAAGTTATTCCTTGGCGGTGTTGAATCCATCTGGTGCTGAAGCCAGTACCGTAGAATATCTCCGACCAAGTCATGGGATGGACAAGGAGAGTATAGTAATGTTGCGGATGAAAGCGGGGATTGCCCAGCTGGGATCGATGATCTATGGTTGCAGCCGATCCTAATCCAGGCACTAGGCTTGATTTTGCTTACAATTGCATGCACCTGGGCACTGTTGATGTAGTAACAGCCACCTGGGCGGCTAGCCCTCTGCAGCATGCTACACCTCCATGGTTGCGTTACTGTCTTTGACCATGTTGTTGGTACGACAACGCAGCCAGTAATGAGCTAGCTGAGAGGCTGAAGACTCCAGATTGCCCCAGAGCCGTGTTGGGACAGGGGTTTGATACGAATGAAGAGCCCGCCACAGTTCATCGGTATGTTTGTGGTCTGGAGAGACGAGCCCAAGGCAGCGACACGTGACCGAACCGTATCCGACTGACAGGAAAGGGCCAGGCCAAGCGAAGGCAAGAGTGAGTTGGCTCGGGAACCATAAGATGAACAAGCAATCGCCGGATTCCCCATTGTGCCAAGCTGCAATCAATTCATGCAGCGTGCAGTCCCAATTGTCTTGTCAAAAAAGCCATCAGCAGACTAGTGAAATTGCAAGCAGCTTCTTGCGGACTACAGGACTGCTGTCACGTCACTACCCATACTTGGTATACTTGAATCCTCTGGCGGGTAGTCACGGTGTATGATTCAGGCTTTTCTATCGAGAGGTCTTCGAAACCTCTTGAGATGTAGCATTCTGATATAGATAAGTACTAGGTAGTGAACGAGCTGAGCTCACCAATTCATGATCATTAGGAACGGCTGCCTACATCACCACCCACTCAATCGACTAGGCCCAGCCTACGACACGAACTCGCGCCAGAGAAGTCGCATTTGCTTGTAAGCGAATATGGTATGAGGACTTAATATTAGGTATTTCACTCGCTGGTAGTCAAATAATGTACTGTAGGTACTCGTAAGTAACGGGAAAAAGTGGGTCGGCGGGCGAACATTACGTTTCCCGATGCAGCCTTGATGCGGAGACCAGTGCCCGGGCGGCCGAGCTGGAGGAGGCGTTTCCCAGTTACCCACTGCACTCACTACCTTACCTACCTAGACCCTTTCAATACATGACGCTAGTGTGGTCCAGTCACCCGTGGTCAGCTGAAGCCAATGCCTAGTCTCCGGCTAATACAGCCGCTCCAATGGCTCCGCCAATTGGTATCTCGTGGCGTAAGGCAGTATCCATGGGTTTTGAGTGTGCCATGTCTGGATGTCAGTTCGGGATGGTAGGTAGGTGGTATTCAGTGAGTATTGTGTTAGATATCATTAGGACGAGGGGCAAGGGGGAGAGTGCGTGTGTGTGTATGTGCTTCAACGGTGATCGATCGTGAAATCCACAACACTGTACATACACCACTGTCAACTTCACTCGAAGGCTATGAGGTAGACAAGATACTCCAAAATGGCGCGTACAAGGCTTGTAAAAAGGGGTAAAGGGCACCGCTCAGGGCTATTGGCATTGGTATCATATACTTAAACTTTCCGTCTGGAGACGGTGTAATTTTTGCTCTGTTTGGCCTTGGCACTTTCTTACTGTTCGCACCCGATCCCAACTTCCGTCCAGCTTTCCCACTGGTCTTCTCCCTATCACTTGACCGACTTACGGATCTCTCTCGGTTGGCTAGATAGGTAGGCCGACAGGCAGTGAGTGACATTTGCATTCAACGGGACTCCAGGTCTGATTCCAGCAATGTCGTATATACGGTCCAGTGAACACCACCGCAGATGGTTTGCCGGCCTTACACCATGGGCCATTTGGCGTGCTTGGCTGATCTCCCGGTACGGCCGAAAAAGAGCCAAGAGAAAAGGACGATCGACTAGCTGACACGATTGTGTTGGGATCATGATTGAACGGCCAGAGGGCGCTGATTCGTCTTGAGCGGCCTAGGACACATAGGTCCCCTCATCTCTTTACGTCTGGCCCATTTAGTGGACTAGAGGTGCTGGACCTGGGTATAGGAAGCTCGCAGTAAAAAGCTCCGTGTTGGTAGTATGTGCAAATCGGTATGATCTGATGATGATCGGGAAGCCGGGGACTAGGGGGTCCATGGGTGCTACCTTTTTAGCATCGGGGTCTAGTATCGGTGCGGGCAACGATTTCCACTTGGTATGATGACGCTGAGGAACGGAGAGGGGTCTGGGGAAGCTCCCTGAGTTGTAACGAGCTCCACATCGGACAATCCGAGCCCACTTCCATGGTTAATTCGGGTGGGTTGTGGTCGAGGTTGATCGTCGAGATATCAAAAGACGAGAGATAGATAGAGAATGAAGAAAGGAGGTAGAGACAGAGTGTGAGAGTGTGTGTATGTGTTGGAGAAAGTCCAGACCAAATGGGACGATTTGTGAAAGTACAAGAGCATCTTCCTACTAGGCAGAGTCTATCAATCTCGGATTGGTAACTTAACTCCGCCGCCTGTCTCCGCCGCTAGTCTCTGTGGTCGCTGCTAAGCTATTAGCATGTTACAAAGAGCAGATATGGATCTCCCTCTGGCCCGATCGATTTGTAGGCATCCTATATTGTTTCTTTCCGTCCTCTTTCCTTCTTGCTTGCTGAGTTATGCAGCTGCATAGTAACTACGAAGGGAACAACTCTCCAGTGTCATGAAGAGTGATCGAGCTATCCACTCGGGCCAGCCTCCAGCCCCACACCTGGCTGGCAGACTGGACCTTTTACCCGATTAGGCCGGCAGCAATGATGACTACTACATACATAACTAGTAGGTACCAGAGGTACCATAAGCTCATCCCATAAACTTCCGGCATGTCACCTTCTCTGGGGCTCCCAAAGTCAGAATCGACCTCATAGAGATACTGGCATACATACATACATACATACATACATACACACATACATACATACATACATACATACATACATACACACATACATACATACATACATACATACATAGTACATACCTTACTCCACCCGAGTCGATCGTACTAATGGACGACGGGTGGGCCAAGTAGCTTGCCTGGACGTTAAACTGTCACTATCGTCATTGCCTTCTCCAATTTTAATTTCGCATTTGATTTGGTCCTCATTTCCAAAAAATTATTGCTCTCCCATTCAAAATTAATTCTCAGCCTAATTCACTACTACAGTAAGTATTGTACGGCCATCGAGCTGGCTGCGACAGTCGATCATCTGTTTAAATCTTTCAGTAATCACAATACATACCAGCAGCCAACTTGCCTGGCTTGTTTGATTTGACTAATGTCCAGCAGCCGTGGCCTGCCGGTAACAAGCAACAATAGCAAATCCCCAACCGTTCCTGTCAGATGCAGGGCCGCATTTAGTAACCTCCCTGTCTCGGGCAAGATCTCAGAACTCTCAACCCCTCCCTCTACTCCCCTCGCCTTCCCCTCCATCCAGGTGAAGAGGGGACCTAGTTTTGGCACAAAGAGATGATTTAAAGAAGCAATACGAGAGAAGACTGAACCGAAGGTGTGAAAAAGATGGGGACTACCTGGGGTCCCATCCCAAAATAATCATCTGTCTTGCATTCAGGAAGTTAACAATTCTGTGTCTTTCCCCATGAAGAGGGCTAGAAAGAAGTGAATGAAGACAAAGATAATGCATGGCAATCAAAAGAAAAAAACAAAAACAAAATAGGACATCAAGCATGCTAATCAATCAGAAATAAATATCACATTAGAAATAATAAAAATGGGCAAAGAAATAAAAAAGAAACAGAAAATACCAAGAAAATAAAACCCATCCTGTCAACTTAAAACCAAAACAATTCAGTTGAGGAAAAGACAGCACACCAATGAGTCGTGCAATCAAATCAAACCCCATGGTGCGAAAACAGGAGGGAAAAGAAATTCCAAAGAAGAGGCATCCATGTCTCTTTCAGTCCCAGCAGACTGGAACAAAGACAGCACTATCCCAGAAGCAAACCCCCGTGCCAACATGGGTTTGGGACAGTGTCGCCGCCAGCACCTTCAAGCAGTCTCAGGGTTTCAGCCGCTGGGGATCCCATGGTTGTCTTCCCCATCTAGAACTTCTACCTTGCGATGTCTATCCCGCTTTAAATCACTTGATATCCACTTCTCATGACTTCCTCTCTCTTCTTCGTCCCCTCCCCCTCTTCATACAAAGTATCTCTGATCTTCACTCTGCTCTGGGAGTCACACAGTCTGCACTGACAGCTTGTATAAGTAACTACGCGGTGATCCGCCACCCGTCTCTCGTGGTGCATCAACAACTAGTTGATGGTGAACTAAGATTATCATCGATAATCACTAAGCTCTCACTTGTCCTTCTCTTTCGCATCAACCTTCAACGACGTCTTTCTTGCTTCCTTGCAAGAACTTCCTTGATTCTCTGTTTCATTCAACTTTTGTTTCGTCACCTTCTATTGTTGTCTTTGACTGTTCATTCATCTATTCGCTCCTCCCCCTCCTCCCGCCAGTATTCAGTTCATTCAGAACAAGACCACTTGCTTTATTTATTTGATCTCCATTCTTCTTTTCTTCTTCTCCTTCCCCTTCTTCCTTCCTTCAACTCTCTCTCTCTCTCAATCCATCAGTCTCCTTAGTGTTCAAGACATTTGATCATTTCCGTCAAACGCGAATGTGTTCGAGACTTGCTCTCAGATGCAGAATCCCTCCCCCCACTGAGTAAACGACTGACTGGTGTCCCTTGCACCTCACTGCGCCTTGCCCACCTATTAGGCATAATCAACATCCACTTTCCCCACAACTCATTCCATCGGAGCAACACAAGCTCACCCTTTCTGAGACCTGAAAAGACGGTCTTGGTCTCATTCTCCTTCCTCCAGCGTCCCCTGCAAGCTCTTCCAATCAACTATCCTGCGTGGGTCCCTGGCGGACTTTGAGCTGGGCTTCCACCCCCTACTCAGTCAAATTCCCATTCCTTGCCTCACATTAAAACCTCATCATGGCTAGCACTACCAGAGTCATTCGTGGCCAGCCACCCTCGCCGCCCGAATCGACGGATCAGAACACGGTGGCTGATGCTAACCAAGACTTCCATGGTATACTTTCGCCAAATTTCGGACAGCCTGAGCCTTTTTCGGCTGCAGACCTTCATGCAAGCCATGTTCCAAGCGAGGTGAAATACGAGGCAGCATCATTTGTAAGTTCACAGTTATCTCATTTATACTCGCTGAGCAGGCACTAACCCAGCTTCAGGATTATCTTCCCCCCCCCTCTTCACAATTCGTGTCTAATGACTATCCGCGAAACATATCATTGCATCATCCGGTGGGTCGTCCCTCCGCTTGATAACCCTTTCGTTGATCACTAATGTCTCTTAGATCGACACGCCACCATCCACAGCAGACGACTGTCATGTTCCTGGAAGCCTGAGTTCGGCGCCGCAGTGGTCATCGCCTCAGAGTCAGAGACAGCCCCCTAGACCAAGGGTCGCCAGGCCTCCCAGAATGCGGCGCAAGGGTCGGAAGTTGAAGGACCGAGAGTCCAGACCTCATGTTGACAAGCCCCTGAGCGAGTTGACCAAGCACTTAACACATATCCCAATCAAGGACATGGAAAGTTGGGTGCATCGCTCCATAGAAACTCGGCGCCAGGAAGTCGCGAAGAAAAATGGCAAGATTGCCCGCCCAATGAACTCATTCATGCTCTACCGGTCTGCATTTGCGGAGCGAGCAAAAGAATGGTTCTCGCAGAACAATCACCAGGTGGTCTCTGAAGCTGCCGGTGATAGCTGGAAACTGGAGCCTGCCGAGATTCGTGGGAAGTACGAGCATCTGGCGACTGAGAAGGCCAACCATCTGAAAGCACATCCCGGCTACAAGTTCTCCCCGGCAAAGGATAAGAAGAAACGGGCGGGTGTCGACGATGATGGTAATCTGGCAAATACTCCTGATTCTAGCCCAGCTCTGCTACAAAGCCATGGGATGAGCTCGTCAGAGGTGGAGAGCAGTGGTTGGGACAGCCGTGACTCTACTCCCTTTGACTTTGCGGAACACGGCTTACCTACAGACTCTATTTTTGTTTCGTCTTCACCTTGGCACGCAAGTCGGGGTTCCATGCCAGGCTACATGCCTTCCTCTGACCCATCTCCGTACCTACTTCACTCGGCACACCCGGGCTACATGTCTCACCATAACGACTTTCGGTTCAAACGGCCGAGTTTCCAGGACATCTCGTACAACTCATCAACTTCTCTGGCAGGACTGCCAGGAGCGTCCCACCATGACCTCCTCCAGCCCGCCAGCTCTGCTTCTACTCCGGGAAGCGGTCAGCTAGACCCCCAGCTTCTGACTCTCCCAAACGAACTTCCGGGTGCCAATCAGATGTATAGCGTCCATCAGCCATTGTGGCCTGATGCATCGACAGTCAACGGTTATGTTCCCATGACAACCTCGATGCCGCCAAGCTCAGTCGCCTATCAGGCGGGCTCAGCCTACTCATCGGCATCGGACATCCAACACCTAGAAGGTCGCGACACATGGGATTCGCCCAATGATGCCAAATTGGAGGGCTCTGGTGGCGACCTCAACTCCTGGATGTCATACTGAGATCCGTGCTCGACGCACCCTTAAGTGTGATAGTTCTGTTATTGTCACGATCTCAAAGGGTTGAGATGTTTTCTGGTCCTGTTTCTCAGCGCGGTGGATATCTGTTTGAAACCAGAGTTGTTGCTCGGAGTTTCGGGGCGCTAATATACATGGTGGCTTGGGACTTGTCTGTTTGTATCTTCGAATTTCTTGCTGATTCTGGGCAAATGCCCTGTCACATTTGGCTGGCGTATTCCGGACTTCTTGGCTTTTGCTTATGGGTGGCAGTCTCGTTTAATCAATATGTTTTGATACCTTGTAACGGTACATACTTGTGCACCGGTGTTCTTACTTAGGTTAGAATAGTTGGCAATTTACATGACCAGATGTAATTCAAAGTGCTTGATTCAGAGCAAGCCTAACAAAGTTCCCTAAATTTCTGGTACATGCGCAGATGAAGCATTACTTTTGATCAGTACAATTTTGTTGGATGACTCCAATTAGGCGTGACAGATACGCGCTCTGTCACGTGGAGATATTCGATCGGTGGGGAGTCAAAGCGACGCGGCGACAGGCAATCAATCCTGCGTGAGACTCACGTCTCCGTCCGTCTGCATGTTCATCGCAAAGCTTGTTTCAAGCTCAATCAAGGCACTGCCTTACTAGGCGATGAAATAAATACGTTCAGGAACCCCTTCCGAACTCTGGATTTTTCTGTCCAGCAACCATCAGCTTCAGACTCGCACATCCCAGCAGCGATCCGCGTAGGGGTATACTTTCGCATCCCCGCGTTTGCATATCTTCAATTCACAGCTACAACCACTGCCCGCCATGTCGAACATGTACGGCGAACTGGGGAATAAATTGGTTGGTCTCTTCTTAGTTGTTGGATTCCACCTACGATTTGGCCTAACACGCGTGATCCGCAGGTTCAACACGCCAAACGCACCCAGGCTCTAACCCATCTGCCTCCCTACCAAACCGAACTCGTTCGCGCCGTCGCCCGCGAGGTCCGCGACCTGGACCGCGATGTTGCACGCCTGCTGACTCCCTTCGAGGGCAGCTTCAATCCGTCCCAAGAGCCCGCCATTGCCTGCGCCCTCCTCGTCGACCATCTCTGTATGCGTCGTAACAAGCGATGTCTTCTCGCCTACCATTGTGTCCGCACGGAAAAATTGGAGGAGCTCTGTTGGACGGGTGTGGATGTGCTAGAGCAGCAATTACCCGTGGCGGAGGAGGCAAGTGCAGGAGCTGCCGCCGCCGCCGCCGCCGCCGCGGCACAAGGCCAGGGCGCTGGCTCGGGGATGAATCACAGCTCGCTGAGCCCGGAGGAAGAAGAGTACTTTCGACAATACAGTGACCTGCTCGCCGCGTATAAGGGGCAGTGGACGGACATTGACCTCACTGGAAGTTTGGAGCCACCCAAAGATTTGTTCATTGATGTGCGAGTCTTGAAGGATGCAGGGGAGATTCAGACGGAATATGGGTATGTTCGGATGAAAATGCCTGTCAACGGTCGGGTGCTAACAATGCGCAGGGTGATCAATTTGACGAAGAACAGTCAGCTCTACGTACGACAAGGGGATGTGGAACGATTGATTGCACAGGGCTTTCTGGAACGGTTGGGATAGATTGCTGTGCCTCCGTGGGCCGGCAGTCAGGATGCGGATTATCCCCCGATGCTGCTTCTGCTGCTCTAGTTGCTGTTTTCTGTGTTACATGATGATACCCATTTAGTTTGTTGAGAGTAGTCTGAAGAGCGGAGACGGTGGCATTGGGACCGACGCTGCGCGAAGTCGAACTCAGGTGGATTAGCGTAGCAATGAGATTTAGTTTTTTGACACATCATAACTGGGAGGTCTATTAAGTAGGTAGCCTGGAGTCGATCTGGCCAATGCCTAGATCGTATGTTACGTCGAAGATAATCTAGGGATCCGTCTTCGGCACTGCGTGGACACATACATCGCCGTTGCAACGGCCGCTTACCTAATGGCGTCGGCCCTATCATCGGCCTGGATGCGGCCATGCAGCTTCGCCGAGGATTGAAGCTCTTGCCTTCCCACACCATTACTGCAGCTATTGTCGCACTTATTCTGACGGCGCCCTCTATCCCTGCACACCAATTTAGTTCGCTAGCATAGCCCATGCTCTGTGGCCATCCAGCAGCAGCTTTCGCCATCCAGGTCCCCAACCATCGCGTCTCCATGTCCGAGAAGTGGATCGGTGATAATCCGCCCGTGATAAGACTTTTTAGTCACTTTCACCCACCTAGCTGATAACAACGGCCAGTCATGCCTGGACCGGATTGAATCGCTCTTTTGATCCCTCCAGACCTACTCTCTGAACGCCTCCCATATCATAATCGTCTGTTTTCCCTTCTTCCCCTCATTCAATCGGCCAATCGTGGAGCGATGTCTATGGTTGTTGATTCTTCTGAGTTCTTGCGTCATCCGGTATCATCTCTGCACTTTCGGCCACTGTCCTAAGATCTCGTCCACGAGCCTGGAAGCCTGCGGGCTGAATCAGTACTTGCTCGGCTCTTACAATCTGCACTGTGACTTCGGCACTTGGGACTTGTGGTGGGCTTATCCTCTGCCACACCATCCGCCATGGGAGTCTTGCGATCGTGCAACAGCGGTAGCGACCTCCGCGGCGCGGGGATGCCTTCGCATCATTCCGCCCTCAATGACGACTTGGAGCCAGCCGGAATGGAGATTCCAGTTGAGCATGCTCATAATGGGAGCCCTCCACGGTCCTCAGTATTAGATCCAACCGTGTCCGGCGGCACCAGTTATCGGACTCCGAGCAGGTCTTTCTTCCATCGGTCATTTCATAACTCTGCAGGTACGCCGCTCAAGTAATCGACTCTCGTCCCCCAAAGCATAACCCCGCTGTGTCGTCACAATACAATAATGCAGTGCTGACTGTTTGGCCTAGATCCGGCTCATTATTCGTCCCATGGTATGCGAGAACAAACTGCCGAATTAGCATCCTTCGCCTTGTCGCGTGAATATGAATCGAACACACTTCCCTCGTCGCTCGATGTCTTCCGCCCCCCTCGCGAATCGTCGCTTTCTTCGACCCCGACGCCGATCGCAACAGCTGCAGCAAGGGCTCATCTTGAGGCTGGCCCTTCCTCCATTCCAACTACTGGCTCCTCGGTACTGACCCAACTGATCCGACACCCCGATATCCCGGAATCAAGCCAGACTGAGCAGTACCACTCTGAAGAATGGGAGAGGGCAAGTGACAGTACCGTCTCTCAAGACGAGCTTCCGGTCGTCACTGCCGGAGAGACTGTGAGCACAGAGCAAACTTCGTTGTTATCTAAGTCGTCACACCCAAAGCCATATCAAGGCTACGGCGCTACAGGTGATATTGAAAACCAGGGATATGCGGGAACGAAGGGACCGAGCGCTTTTTCCAGTGCCTTCTCGAATGTCACTACTTGTTTCCGGCTCGTAGCCAACCCGAAATCGTGGGACAAACAGGCTGCATGGCGCGAGGGGGTCGTCTATCCCCTCAGCCTGTTGCCATCGGTATTCCTCGGTCTGTTGCTCAACATACTCGATGCTTTGTCTTACGGAATGATCCTTTTCCCATTGGGTGAGCCTATATTTTCTGACCTTGGATCGGACGGTATCTCCATGTTCTACGTGAGCACGATTATTGCTCAGCTCGTTTTCTCTTGCGGAGGTTCCATCTTCCGTGGCGGTATCGGCAGTGAGATGATCGAGGTGGTGCCTTTCTTTCACCAGATGGCTTTCACGATCTTGAATCGAGTTGGAGCGGATAACCCGAAGTCCGTCCTAGCTACCACTATTCTGGCGTTCTCGGTCAGTTCGATTCTGACGGGCCTTGTTTTCTTCCTTATGGGGACTTGCAAGCTAGGGGCCTTGATCGGGTTCTTCCCAAGGCATATTCTTATTGGATGCATCGGGGGTGTGGGCTTTTTCCTCTTGTTGACCGGCCTCGAGGTATCAGCTCGGCTTCCCGGCTCGTTCGAGTTCACTTTGGCAACAATGGAGAAGTTGGTGCAACTGGACACAGTATTTCTTTGGACGGTACCCTTGTTCCTCGCGGTCGGCTTGCTTGTTTTGAAGCGTTTTCTGCATTCTAATTTCCTCCTCGGTGGCTATTTTATTTGCGTGGCTGTCGTATTTTATATTGTTGTTCTCAGCGCTGGGGTCTCTATGGGCACTCTGCGCAACAAAGGATGGGTCTTCGATGCGCCGTCCTCCTCAAATCCGTGGTATCACTTTTATACCCTTTATGGTATGTGAAAGAATCTTTGTGATAGCGGTGACCTTCTAACTATTCATAGATTTTTCTGCTGTTGACTGGGCCGCGTTCGTCGACACGATCCCAGCAATGTTCGCGCTCACTTTCTTCGGCGTCCTGCATGTACCCATCAATGTGCCTGCCCTGGGCATATCGACGGGCGAGGATAATCTCAACGTGGACCGTGAACTCATCGCGCATGGCGTCACCAATGCCCTGTCCGGCTTCTCGGGCAGCATACAGGTACTGCCTCTGATAGCTTGCCTGCAGGGAGACTTGCTGACTTCTATAGAACTACCTTGTATATACCAATAGCCTGTTGTTCATTGACAGTGGTGGCAACTCCCGTTTAGCAGGTATCATGCTCGCGGCTGCGACGGCTGGTATTCTCGTCGTCGGCCCGGCGATTGTCGGCTTTATTCCGGTCATGGTTGTTGGCGCTCTCATTTTTCTGCTGGGAATTGAGCTGATGCAAGAGGCCTTGGTGGACACATGGGGAAAATTGCATCGGCATGAATATATCACGGTAAGCTCTAATTTGAGTTAATGACGGCACTGGCTAATTCTGTAGGTTGTCATCATTGTTGCAACTATGGGCGCCTGGGATTTTGTTGTTGGTATTCTTGTTGGTATCATTCTCGCCTGTCTAAGCTTCGTCGTGCAGACTTCTCGTAAGTCTGCTATCCGTGCGACTTTCTCGGGCGGGATCACGGGGTCTACAGTCAGACGTCCTCCTATTCAGCAACGGTTCCTCAAGGAAGCCGGGCAGCAGACCCTCATCATCAAGCTTGGCGGATATCTCTTCTTCGGTACCATCGTGAGCGTTGAGAATACGATGAGAGGATTGATCGAGGAAGAGGCATTCAACCGACGGCCTATCCGATTCCTGATCCTTGACTTCTCCAGGGTTTATGGCATCGACTTCTCCGCGGCCGAGGCATTCACCCGCATCAATCGCATTCTTAGCAAGCGGAACGTTCAAATGACCATTTCTGGCCTCGACGTGGAAGGAGAGGTGGGACGTAGTCTCCAGAACGTGGGCTTATTCGAGGCTGTAACGGGGGTGGAAATTTTCGAGGATCTGAACTCGGCGCTCGAATTCTGTGAGAATGACTATCTCAAAGTGTTCTACAGCCACAGGGAGGCATTGTTGAGGAGACAGCACGGAACTTCTACAAGCTTCCTGGAGGTTCCTACCCCGCAAGCACCATCCCACCTGGGTGATACGATGGTCAGTTCTCCTCGCCAGCGATACCTACAGCAAGCCGCAAGGAGCACCCTTCGCGAAGACGAAGTCGCAGTAGTCGCACCGGCAGCATGGTCTGCCATGCGCCAGCCGCTTCCGCTGCTCCTCCAGACCTTCCAGGGCATTACCTCCCGAAACGAGGATTTCTGGTTTCCAGTGTGCGCCTATTTCGTGCGAGAAAGCTACGCAGCAGGCACTGTCCTATTCCGTGAAGGCGATATTCCGATGGGATTTTATCTTCTGGAATCCGGGATGCTTCGTGCCGAGTACGAACTACCGCAGGGACGATACTTTGAAATCATTGTGGCTGGCCGACCGTGCGGCGAGCTGCCCTTCTTCAGCGAGACCCGCCGGACAGCGACGGTCAAGGCCGAACAGGACTGCGTGAGTTGGTGTTTGAACATGGAGAAGTGGCAGGAGCTGCGTGAAAACGAGCCAGAGATTGCAAGGGAGCTTCTGACGGTCAGTCTGAAACTGACTACGGAGCGGATGGACAGCATTACTTCGTGAGTATTCCGTCATTCTTGTACACGGGACTGTGCTTTTTGACTGACATGATTCCTCTAGTTACGTTCTAACAACAGCGGCTTGATAGCTGTTTTGACTGGTACTTTGATGCGTTGGCCGGTTCCGCCTATAGTGGCATGTTTTTGGTATATTTGTCTTGCATAGCATGTTGGTGGTTGACTTTCTTCTACCTAACTATTGTATAATGATTGTGAGCGTGTGTATGTATGTGCGTCGGCTGTTGTTAATGTGAGCTGGTCGGGCGCATAGCTTGACCGACTAACTTGTTACCTATGGTCGTCTTCCAGACTTAACGATTGCTACTTGCATGACTGGCGGGGGTCCAAACAGGATCAAATGCTGAGCCATGGCATGGTTCATTTGATGTAGCGCTGCTCGGCATCACTTGGAATTTTCTCCATGCAGCTTCAGTCTAGTCTATGCTCCGCCCTCCCCATTCTCATCATCCAGAGAGAGGTGTGCAGCACATTCTAAGGAAAGACACGCCTTCTGTTGAAGAAGCACGAAGGCTCAGCCGACGGTCTTCGGAAATGCTCAGTTCCAGTACGGAGTTCGACATACAGCCTCTGTGGCATACGGAGTCAAACGACATGCAACTCATTGTCCAGGATCGATTGCACTTGCAAATAGCGGCTATTTCCAGGAGTTCTTATTATAATAGATGCCCAAACAAGGGGAGGGGACTTCTGCTCTGTTCACTGACAGTCTTTGACATCCAGGCATGTTGAGGAAATCCTCCATGCTAATCTCCGTTTGCATACTACTAGAGAAAACCTCCGCTAAGCCTCCAGTTCCTACGGTTTCACCAACCCCCAAGCTTATAAAATCCGTCATGATAACCAAGAGATCAAGAGATCTACTACCTCTATCTCTACCCCTACCAACCTTAACTGAATCGCTAAACCTCACACTGGGAAACACTGAACCTAACCCCAGATCTCACTAATTATCACCAGGAACACACCCCCCCCCCAACCAGGACTCCCACTAACTATACTATATAGCATCAACCACCAAAATGAGCGCCCCCACCAACAACAACACCATCTACAGACGCTCCCACGCCCTCGAGTCCACCAGCCTATGGTATACCGCCCTCAGTGATCTCTTCCCCACCGCGGCAGGCTTCACCGTAGACCTCGAAGCCGGGATCATGTCCCCGATGCGCGAGTCCTACAACCGCATCACCGTGACTTTCCGTAAGCCTGCGCACGAAGCTGCAACTGAAGCTGAAGCGGAGGCTAAGAACGTAGCCGGCAGGGACGGCAGCGGCAGCGGCAGCGGCAGCGGCAGCGAGACCCTCATCATCTTCACCCTCATAAGCGGCGCGCTGCGACGCCCGCGCGCGCACCCGGGCCACCACGTGCTCGTTCTGCGGGATTTCCTGGCCGCCGTGCGCCATCACGGCCAAGACCACTACTACCGACACCACCATCACCCGCCCCAGCTACTGTCTTCGTCGGCGGGGCCCATCGTCGGCGCCGTGATGCTTCCTCGTCTGCCGGTGACGATACAATTCTACCGGTGGGATTGGGGCCACGGCGGGTGGGTGCTGCCCGTGGGGCAGGCGTTCAATGAGCTTGTAGACCGCCGGGGGATCTTGGGGGTGTTGGTCGGGATGAAGGGGTTGGTGCTGAGCAGTGGTGGGTTTGGGTTGGGGAGGGGGGTTAATTGGGTGGATGATGAGGAGGAGGTGGTGGAGGATTTTTTGGTGGTGAGGGTTTAGACACAGACTGTTCTTGTTTTCGACGCTCCCGTTTCTGTTGAGGAGTAGGGCGCGTTTTCTTTGGATATTGGTACGAATAAGAGGATTATCATTCTTTGATTTTTTTTCTGTCCTTGTTGGTAGAACCTTGAAGGTGTGTATTGTTTTCTAGTGTATGGGGGCTGTGTAGGGTGCGATGTATACTGTAGCTAGGGGGTTTCCTAATGATCTAGATCATTGGTGGTGGCCTCTGCAGTCTGCATGGCACCTGCATACAGGTACTACTACCGGATAGGTAGATAATATGAGAGCAAGTTTGTTCCACGACGCAGTCGACTATGGGAACCTTCTACTGGGTATCTAGAAGGGAGCGATTTTACGTCCATGAGAGAAAAGAATACAAGGCTTGATACCAGGATACACCCTCACACTGCTAATGGACAATGAGTATATCCACCCTGCCCCCGTCTCCCTCCGCACCACTATACTTTCGATATGCGCAAGCAATCTACCCCCACCTGACCGATTCTTACAATCGATCAACGACGGCGTAGATCAAGCTCACACTTGACGACCAGTCTTGTTGGATCTGAACCCGAACTCCTCTCTCTCTTCCCCTCGCGCGGGCAGGATTCGCCATCTCGTCAGGTGGTGACAGTGATACCATCTTAGAGTTCATTGCACTAGCGGACGAATCGGAGGATGTGTGCCTATCTATGGGAAGACCTCGGGTTTCCGAGGCGGGGGATCTACAGAGTGCATGGTGATGGCAGGTATATGGCGTGATAAGGCACGTCATGCGACTGCCAGGTGCAGTGCAGTGGGTTTGCCTGCGGCGCCCGCCGGGTTTAGCCTTCCCCTGATGTCAGCCAGCCCCTCTCCACTTTGTCAGGGTGGGCTTGGGGGTGGAGTGAGAGGTGTATCCAGTATTTCCGTTTTGATGCGCTAGACGGAGTTGGAGTTGTAGTTAGAGGTTATTTGGGTGGAGTGGGGAGGGCATGTGGTCACGTGAGGTATGAAGTGGGCTAAATACCTTACCTACTGAGGTTCTATACTTCTGCAGTGATGAGCGCTAACATAACTTAGTACTCGTACTGTCGTGACAAGGCTGAAGATGCAAGATCTCAAGGGTTGGGCTGTGGTTCCGTTTGTGTACCATGCAATCCACTTCGTTTTGGCAGATAGCACCCCCGGTTGATTTGGGTTTGATAATGGTTGATGATGGTACTGTACCTAGTAGTTAGTTGCAGCCCTGTACTGTAAGTGAGCCGCTGCATCGCCTGGAGATCACTTCCTGCCAATGGGGTAGAAATGGACGGTTGGGTCCTGTCCACACCGCCGAGATCACCATCCCGAGAAACTGAAAGGCCCTTGGGGAAAATGATATGACCACGTTCCGTTTTAAGAGGAAGGTATGGTTGATCGTGTCCGTGCGGAGATCAATAACTAGTAGTGCCTAGACAAGGATCTAGCGCTGATCAACGACGGCCATGACCATGATCATGTAAGCTTTCAAACAACGTGACCTACCCCCATGCTAAGGGTCAATGATTTCGATTCGGCGTCGCCTTGCAGTAACAGGTAGCGTGACTTCTATACTTGAGACTGGTTTAGTGAGCAGGTAAATTATTGCGTAGACTAGCTCCGCGGCTCCCCTCTGTAGTGCAATTTAGCACCCGCGGGGCTGAAAATCCAACTGCCCACTTTAATATTGAATAGATTAGTTGATAAGCAAAGTCAACGGTTTCGATGTCAGATGAGAGGGCTGTGGGTGGCGTTGAAGGCCGGTGGAAGCTCATATTGGGGCGGAAACTTGGTTGATTTATTGGTCTATTGACGAGTAGTTATTGTGGACTTTGACAAGTTGGTCGATTTGGTGCTAGACACATACTACTCAGTATGTAACATAGACATGGAGCGGGATGATAAAATGGGTTCTGCCGGGTTTATTATAAGTTTCATACCTCATGATTGGCGATCACGGCTGGGATTCAGATCTTGCGTGTAGTCGAGGAAGCGGTGGCGGTGTGAGCAAGTCAAGGCGGTATGGGCATGCTCCTCATACTCCTACTCAAGTAAAGAGCTGCCATTGACCCCACGTTTGCGCTCTGAAGGCACTCGGGAACTCATGTGTATGAGTAATTACTCGGTAGCAGAAGCTAGAAGTGGTCACGTTCTGGATAGTCGGGATGATCAAGGGAGTAACTAGCAGATGTAACTTGGAAGTGGTGATGATTGCCGGGGTACTATGACTTAGAGATGGGCTAAGTTAATCTATGGTTAGGATTGTCACTTCATGGAATATTTGTTAGTAAGTGTATGGTTTGCAAACAAGCAATTCATCCACCCCGTTTCCACTACAACTCTCCAGCAAACGTCTCTCTTCCAAGTACGTATCAAAGCATGGGTGCCCCTCCCCAACCGCAACCACTACTCGCTTCTCTCGTGAGTATGGTTCTCATGTTCTATCTAGATACCCGCCGCAAAAGGTACAGTACGATATCCGGCAGCGCCACCGATTCCCGTGGCCAGTGGACCATCCACGGCTATAATTATGTGTGCGACGGGGTCACAAATCAAGTTCTTGAGGACCGGGAGTCGCAGGCTACCTGGTCGGTGTCTTGGACGTTGACAATCTGGGGGCTTATCCCTCACCGGCCCCCCGTGACGTTTCCCTCCCGCTTCCCGCGGTTCGGGGTTCTGGAATATGACTCCTGCTGGGTAGGAGCTCTTTACCTTTGGGAGGGGCGATTTGAAGCGTGAAGCAGGAAATGTAAATTGAATCTAGATGGCGAAGAGGGGGGGCTCATGCGGTCGTGAGAATTATCGTGGGTAGTGAAATTGAGAGTCGACAAGTGGTCCACCGCCTGCTGGTTTTCTTTCTGGCTATACAACATTATACTATATGGCTAGATGGACGGATGGCTGTCTGTCGGCAAAAAGTCAGACAGTGGGATTGTCTGGATCAGCAAGCAAGACGGCGGTTCAACACGAGCCAAGCCATTGATCATCAGATCGACGGTGGCCTGATTGGTGGACGGTCGGGATTGAAGCTCATCAGCTTATGTTGGTTGGTTCGCTTCAAGCCCGAGGCCTGCTGGTGGTCGTTGAAACGGCCGGGAGGGAAGAGAACGCAGAATAGGAAATTTACTAAGAACTAGTACGTACTCCGATAGTAGTCAAGGCAAAAAAAAAAAGGGGGAGAATGAGGAAGCGGGCAAATTGGCCGGCCCACTGCGATAACCCTTCTTGCAAACTTGTTTGTACTCGAGTATATGAGAGGCCATGGAGTAGAGTCAGTTTGCTAAGGAGATTTGTTAGAATGGATTGGCAAGCGACGTGCGCTTCTATCATGGATCATCATGGTTGATCATGATTTCTCGAATAGTGGTTGCGTTGAGCAAAGTAGATCCCGCGAGCCGCAAAATTGTATGTAACCAACCTATTGTGCAAATGTCATGTCGGAGAACTTCCATGGTACGGACCGTACATCCAAATCAACGGAGGAAGTATGAGCTCTATCTCATTAGGGATATTCTTCCGCTTCTTCTGCTGCCGCTGCCTTGCTACAGAAGCAGGCCAGAAAGACAGGATCATCAATCAAGAAATTCAAGAAGATTCAGAAAGCACATACTGCAAAAGTCGTGACTCGTGTGTCGTGAGACAGGGGGATGATTGAGAGTGGGGCGACCTTTCCAGCTCTGGCGCTGGAGCTACTCGAGTAACAAACAATATCCTATCCACTTTTTACCCTCCTGAGTAAGAAGTACGAACTCATGGTCCCAAGGAAATGTTATTCCTTCCCTTTTACGCCTCCCCCCCCTCCCCTCTAGGGCCCTTCTCCCTTTCCCAAATATTTTCCTTGTGAAGTTGAGCACGGGGACGGCCGAAGAAGGTGGCGGAGGTTTGAAAATTCCTTTGGTTAGGTTCGTTTCATCGGGCTTGCGCCAGTGACTTTATCGCCTAGTATCGCCAGATTGAATGGAACGAACTAGATGGGAAAGATGGAATAACTTCAACTTTGTCTCTATCGCTCAATAGGCGGCGGATTACTCCCCTCCGACCATAGTTTGTTTCCATGACTTCAGTCACGCGAGCCCAGGACTGAATATCTCTCTTTCTCTCTCCCGGCGAGTCAGCGGCGTCGATAGGGTAGATTAAAAAAGATCAGGCAAGGTGGAAAAAGTTCCAAGTTGCCAAAGATGGAGGGGCTCCTTTCCCGCTGGTTGGTCCTACAGTCTTGAACAATGCTGGGCTGTCACGAGGCATTCCGGTCGCATGGACGGGACTGGTCTGAGAAACTGCCGGTGGGTGGTCGGTTTAGCAGAAGAAGGGAGTTCGGGGTTCAAGCAGGCAAATCAGAGTCCCCTTCAGCATGACCACATTGATGTGGCACAGAATGACGACGATGATGAGGAGGAGAGAAGAGGACGACAACAACAGCAGCAGCAGCAGCAGCAACAAAATGAAGATGCTCGCCAAAAACAGCGGGCGGGTAACCGAGCGTTTGGACTAAAAAGCTAACTAACTCACTATTTAGACTAGCCCGGCGCTTAACATATTTCCTTCATCATGGTTTGATTCTCTCTGCTGCTGGGATTTTTTTCTTCCCTGACAATAACGGCAACATCGAGATCTAAGTGGATCGGTTGGGCAGGAGTCTTAAGGACTTGAGGCACTAAATATCTGTTCCCGACCGGGCTTTCTGCTATATGTGAAACATCAATAGTCGCGATTCAGCGCGATTCAGTTTCGGCAGCCATCGCCAACCGCTACTTTCAAGCAGCGATGCGGCGGCAGCATCAGAATTCACTGCAGTGTACTCCGTAGTCTATGGAAAGCTGGTCTCTGTCTCTGCCTGGAACGAAGGAGGAGTCATAGACTAGGTAGGTTAGACTAGTTAGTCTAGTCTCGAGAATAAACAACAAGAAGCCACTTGGCTGGAACCCATCTGATTCTGACCCATGGTTGTGTAACGGACCAGCCTTGGAAGCTAAACCCACCAGGACGATCTGGAAATTCTGAATAGGAGGTCCAGGTTTGGATGGATGGAAACCGAATGGACGGAGGGCTGGGTCCCACAAACACGGTGACCAGGTGACACCAATCTACTTCCTTCACCTGAACAAGAAGAAGAAAAGAAAGCCATGATCCATCGATGAGGTTTGGATTTCAAAAGGTGGTGTGGCAATTACGTTAACCACCCCTGCGGAGCATAATCAATCTACTGTAGTGGTTCTGAGGAACTATATAAGTTAGTACGTTAGTAGTTGATCCTCCCAAGCGCCGTTGAAACCATCTGCACGACCGGTAAAGAAGAAAGACCAGTCAGTGCCAAGAAACCCTACAACCACCAAAGGGCGAACCGCGTCCCACGGCAAGACCTTCCATTCCCAGGGCTGTCATCAGGAGGGGGGAGGAGGGGGGGTTTTTTTTCTCTTTAGTAAGGGGGCTAAATTCTGCCTGTCGGTCAATCGGGGGCTGTCTTGAAGATCGGATTCACCACGGTTTCAGCAAGCCCTTGACCTCATAGGGGGGAGGGCTCGGAGGGAGGGAGGTTCTCAGCATTGTGGTGAGGGCGGGGCTCTTTTCAAGGGCCTTGATTCTTATTACCCTATTTATTAGGCCGATAAATTTTCGTTCGGCGTGCGCAAGAGGTTCGGCCTGCGTTGCGAAAAAAAATAAAAGAGAATTTTTTTTTCTTTTTCGCTTCTTAAGTCTTAGACCATGAGGGGACTGGACTATGCTAGGATGGGTTTTATACTTCGGACCTAATTAACAGGCCATGGCCAGGGAGGAGGGGGGAGGAGGGGGGAGGAGAAAGAAAGGAGCTTGGACTTTTCGTCTATCATCGTGACGATTGGCAGTCAGACCGGATCGTGTACTGTCCAACAAGACGTGCTGGGCTGGTGTCGGAGGCGTCTTCCAGTCTGCAGGATCCGGGCATGCTGCATGGTGAGATTCCGATCGTGATGTACGTGGATGTCAAAAAGAAGAAAAAAAAGAAGAAAAAAGAGATGCAGGATGGATCTGCAGGATGTAAGTGTCGTATGTACTGTACCTGTGGCGGAGATAATATGTATGTGGTTGATGTTTATTTAGTCTAGTTTATGGTCTGATGATGATGATGATGATGTTGTTGTTGTTGATGGGTCGGTCAACGCGATGGGGCAATACAACAAAACCCCCTGATTTAAGTATAGTGGCTACGACATAGGTCGAAGTAGATAGGTAAGGTAGGAAATTAGCTTGCAAGTGAGTGAGTCAGGATTCGCTACTGAGGTACTTCGAATTGTACTCGTAGTCGCAATTGTTAGTAGCAAGTAGTAAGTTAGTAGATGCTCATGCTCATAGTAGGCAAAGAAAAACAATCAAAAAATACCTTAAACAAAAATAATAATCAAAAAAAAAAGATCCATGATGCTCCACTCTCCTTTCAAATCTAGCCTCGAGGGCCGCCCGCCCTGCAGCTCCCTGCCTAATCGGGAAGTGACCAGGCCTGCTCAACTTCCACACCCTTTCATTTTCCGCCCTCTCACTCACCCTCTCACCCTCTCTCACCCTCCCTCCAGCTCCTCCTTTCTCGCCCCTGCTCCTTCCAGGTGGACTAGTTCCAGTTGTTCTTCTAGTACCCTCTCCTCGTTTCCTGGCCTTTGAAATTCTCTTCCTTCTTCTTTACTTCTTTCTTTCTTTCTTCTTTTTCTTCTCCTCTTCCTCTCCCCATATACTCATTCTAATCCCTCCCTCACCCCCCCCCCCAACTCAAAAGAGGTCTTTCTCTTCTTTCCTAAACTTTACCCTTTCTCCTTCATTGTGATACCCAAGCTCTCTCTAGCTTTGCGCTAAACAGAGCTCTTGTTTCTTTTCCTTCAAGATACCCCCCCTTCTCTAAACGATACCCCTCTTCAGCTCAACGCGCAAACTAATCTACGAAGCCACCCCAGCTTCAACAACTCTTAGCTAATCCATCACTATCGACTATAATTACACCTTTAATCAATCTAACCCCCAATATCATCATGTCTGAAGTTCAGAAGCCCGTTGAGGAGACTGCTGCGCCTGTCGTTGCTCCTGTCACCGAAGCGCCTGCCGTCACGGAGGTCGCTGCCACCGAGCCTGCCGCTGCCGAGGCCCCCAAGGAGACCCCCGCCGAAGCTACTGAGGCCACCCCTGCTGCTCCTGCTGAGGAGCCCAAGGCCGATGCTCCCGCTGAGGAGGCCAAGGAGGAGCCCAAGAAGGAGGAGGTTACCCCCGCTGAGGAGGGTGTCCTTGGTTACAAGGCCCCCGGTCTGGTCAAGTAAGGCGCCACTGGTCGCATTGTGAGGTTCGCATGCAGTGACTAATCATGGGTATCACAACAGGGGTCTGCGTTTTGCTAAGCGCTTCTTCTACTTCCACGATGACGCTGTTGAGGCCAAGCAGCTGTCCGCCTTCCACCAGAACGAGAAGCCTGCTGTCGCCAACCCCATCGCTGCTTGGGCTAGCCAGACCGGCAAGGGCCTCCTTTTCTTGACCAAGCGCGCCGAGGACAAGGCTACCCCGGCTGGTATCTTCAACCTGGTCAGTACTTGGAAATAGGTGATTTGAGATAAGTGAGTGGTGATGCTGACTGAGTTCACAGTCGGAGGTCTCCGATATCGCCAAGGAGGGTGCCAACGAGTTCCACTTCAAGGTCAACGGCCACAAGCACACCTTCCAGGCTGCCAGCGGCGCTGAGCGTGACGGCTGGGTGCTCGCTCTCGAGACCAAGGCTGCCGAGGCCAAGGCCGAGAAGGAGACTATCGTCGCCAGCGAGGGCTACAAGGCCGAGCTGGAGAAGCTGAGTAAGTCTTACGCCACGCAACAAGAGACCTTCATTGACTAACGTTCTTTAGACAAGCCTGCTGTTGCTGAGCCCGTCAAGAAGGCTGCTGAGCCCAAGGAGGAGGCCGCCCCCGCTGAGGAGCCCAAGGACGAGAAGGCTACCGCCAAGAGCCGCTCCCAGTCTCGCAAGCGCGCTAGCATCTTCGGAACCCTCCTGGGCAAGAAGGAGGAGACCGAGGAGAAGAAGGAGGAGCAGAAGGAAGAGGAGGCCAAGGCTGCCGAGCCCGCCGCCGAGGCCCCCGCTGAGGCCCCTGTCGAGACCACTGAGGCGGCCCCTGCTGCTGCCGTGGAGGAAGCTGAGGGTATGTCCCCCATAATCTCCAAATCACCTACTTCTGACTAACTGTGCGAAAGCCCCCGCTCCCGCCACACCCGCTCCTGCTGAGACCAGCGACAAGAAGGAGGAGGAGAAAGAGGAGAAGAAGGCCGAGGCTCCTGTTACCCAGAAGTTTAAGCGCGCTTCTCTTTTCGGCAACTTCTTCCAGAAGGTCACCAGCCCCTCTCACGAGAAGTCGGAGAAGGAGGCTGCCGCTCCCGCTCCCGCTCCCGTTGAGACCCCCGTTGCCAGCAGTGCTCCTCAGCTCGACAACCCCGTCGAGGAGGCTAACGTCAAGCCCATTGAGCCCGAGACTGTGACTGCTGCTGCTGACGCTGAAGCTTCCAAGGACGCCACCCCTGCCGCTTCTCCTGCTGCTGCGGAGACTCCCAAGAACAGCCGCCGCACTTCCTTCTTCGGTAACTTCGGCAAGAAGAAGGGCGACTCCGACAACGAGGGCGCCGACGGCGAGGCCAAGCCCAAGGGTAACAAGCTGGGCGGTATCTTCCGCAAGCCCAGCAAGGCTGTGAAGAGTGAGGTCAAGGAGACCAAGGAGGCCACCGAGGCTGCTCCTAAGGAGGCCCCCGTCCAGGAGTCCCCCGCTGAGGAGACTGCTCAACCTGTTGAGGCTCCTGCTGCCACCGAGGAGGTCGCCCCTGTCAACAACGTCCCTGCCTCCACCCCTGTCCAGGCTGCTGCCTAAATGGTCGTTATCTTGGCTGGGAAGACAAGTGCCTTGTCTGCAAATCGGTGATGCGAACCCCTTCGAATTTGAAAAAATAAAATCTGCTACTTTGGCTTGACGTTGATACTACCCCCTTGACTCCTTCATGAATCTCTCTCGTCGAGCTATTGGCGAAGTGATCCGTGTCGAGTGTCAATGATACCCTGTACTGCTTTGGCGGTTATTTCCGAGCCTTGATGTCCTTTCCGGCGTCTTGTGCTGCGTTTCATTCGTTTATGATATCCGTTCCGCAAGAAAGTCCATTGGGCCTTGCGTGATCATGTTGTGCGCCGTCCAAACTAGATTGATACCACTTGCTGCTGCTTTTCTCTTTTTCTGTGCTTCCTTGCGATTTGACTGTGACTGCCATTTGATGCATTTGACTGGATACCCTCATCGGAGGAAAGGATGGTCTCTTTGCTTGTTGAAAGGGTATGGTGCTCATTGTTGACCACCCATCTTGTCCACTACGGTGACTCGATGGTGGGACAGAATGCTGGTCGCGTCATGTATACTTGGGCACCGCATCATTAGGTAATAGCTAATAGAATCCCACGCATTGTTCTGCAATTGGCTCGGGGGGTTTACCCCAGGTGTTTATATAAAGTGTCCATGTCCTCCGTGCGTCTGTTCCACATGGTGCGTCCGGTGGAGACAGTTCCGCCCACTTCCGATTTGCTTGTTGTGGTGTGCTCCCCAGCACCCACCGCACCGCACCGCACAGCACAACACAATTGCAGTTAGGCTAGCAGTGACCTGCGTATGGAGATATGCTCTGAGGTTTCTGGCGGTCAATGTCATGGAGATGGAGCACTTGTGGATACCTGCGCCTTGCGTTGATTTCAAACATTCTCTAATGTCTTTGGAACTCGAATTATTATCACATCGGACGAACTGCGTATTACATTTCGATTGAGATTGTCTGCACTGTGCGTGAGGCCTTCCTGCATGGTACATATCCCCCACACAACCTCCAAGCCTATTGTTGACTAAGCTCAGTCTTTCGCTAGCTGACTACGGTTGAACCCCGCGGCGGCTGTTTTCTTCAACCACCAGGTCTGACCTATCTTCTAATCACCAATGTTGTTGTCATCGTAGCTGGTTTTTGACAGGCTTGACAGTCGTCCGCCGCCCGCGACCACGCATTCAAGGGGGAAAAGCTTATAAAGAAGTTCTTTAACAGCTGTGGATGGGCGCTACACTTCTCAGGAACAGGCAATGGATCCATGATGCTGGGTGCGGTTTTCCCTCCCCGGAACCGCGCCTGAAAGGACATTATTCGCGGAAGAGTTGCATATACTCGTGCATTGTGCAGATCTGATCTGGCTATAATGGAGATCGCTACTTTGATCTCTAAGAGTGCTGGGGGTATCCATCGCCGCGAGGTTTGCTACTCTGCAAGACTACACGGGGAGAACGGGGTCTTCGGGTCAGGTCAGTGGTGGGTGGCGTCCGTCGTTCGGAAAGACTGATGGCGAACCCGATGGCGAGTTTCCTGTGGACGGTCACCTTGAATAGAGGTGAGTGCTGAGTGGTATCCGTGCGAGATTGTCGTCTCGACGATGCCGATTCATGTGCTGACATCTATCTCGCCTTCGAGTCCCCGCCCCTGTTTACTGCCAATGGGAGCGTTCTGCCCTGGTGTCACTTCCATCTGGAACAGGAAAGCTTCTTATTTTTCGGACGTCGGCCGAGTTTCCTGATCAATTCAACGGTAGCTGCGTGGCGGAGGAAGCAGAGCGACAACGACGACGACGACGACGACGACGACGACGAGATGCCCTACGCCAGTGGGCTTTCGGACGGAGATCATGGAGGCAACAATATCCTGCTCACATTGCTCGTGCAGTCAGATCATAGCCTAGCCAGGACGAGGGCCTCTGTGTCTCGTTTCTGGAGATCGCTGCTGAGTTCTGGCATCTTACCTCTCCAAATGAGTTTCAGGACCCTTGAAAAGCGGTTGGATGCTGTCCCATGAGGTTGGGTTGGGAATGGTGAGGATATTGACAGCAATCTGGAGCCGATACTGCAGGGGCTGCTTGTTTGGGACTTGTTGAATTGAGGTAGGAGGATAGTTGCTTGGGGTCAGGTGTCGTCTATTGTGAGAATACCTGCGGCTGCGGTCGGTCAATGGGTTAGGCTCTGGATTACCTAAGGCTGATTGATGATCTGCGGGCATTTTTTGATTGAGCCTGATGGCTGTTCGACGACTGTGGTTCAGTTGCTTCAGGTGGCTGCAGTGGGGAGTGGGTAGCCAATGCTTGCTCGGGGAAGGAGCTGGCGTACATCACAAGATCGCCATCGTCTTTAGAAGAGCTCGATCTCAACTCTGCCCTCAAGCCCGACCTGCTCATTATACCCTTCAGTCTGGAACAATGTCCCAGTCAGATAACCAGCAAGACAACGAGAAGACTACGTCAGCAGATGAGGTTTTCTACCCCCATACCCCCTATGGTCATTCCATTATCCTGTGTCGTCTCGGATATCAGGTCCGAAAAGACAGGCCCAGCGACGTGCTGGACTGTCTCGGAGCCGGCGGGCTATGTGGGCGAGGCAGCCTTGCTACCGTGCTTGACTTCAGTGCATTGCACTGCACTCTGGTGAAAGTCTATTTTCGATCTGAAGGTTAGCAAGGCTAAAAGGCTATGTCTGGGACTGACGGTGTCATTCCTGGAATGGCGACCCGGTGCTACGCTTGGTGAGGAAGGATTGTGATGATCATCAATTGCGTTGGGCGGCCTGCACTGCTACAGCTACAGTATACTTGAGGGCGCATTTTTTTATTGTGTTCCAAGATTGTAGAAGTGGTAGAAAGGGGGAGCGACAATTTTGCGATCTTGACGAGACATGGTAGAGTAGGTCGGATAACGTTCGAGGTGCTGTTGGGTCCGATTTTGTTCTTTTGTTTGTTTTTTTCTGGGGTTTGAGTTCGCGCAAGATCATTTACGATGTAGTGCAGTGTAATGTACTATTCTAGGGTACTTTGAACGGTGGTAGATCGATCTTTAGAGTTCCAGACAAGCTAGGTGGACGATGGTATCGCATCATCATCGCATGGCCATCGGAGTTGGGGATACTTCGGCCGCGATACACTTTCACAATGCTGGAGGGATGGAGGTTGATCTGTCGATCATTGGTTCGGAATAAAAGAGCTGATGCCTATCTGATGAAGATCCTGTTGTTGTATCTTGGACCTACTCTGCATAAGAATAGGCTGCCGTCAACGTGTCCATCCATCATCATCATCATCATCATCATCATCATCATCATCATCATCATGACAGATGTCCAGGTGTCCAGGGCTGCGATGGCTACACTGCCTATTGGCCAATCAGACCACATGGGCTGTCCCGTCTCTCCGTGCAATGCTTACAAACCCGGGGATGAGAGGACACGTACGGACTCGACTTCAGTGCTGCTGCAAATACACCGATCCATCCTCTGCAGTCCACACGACGGAAAAGCTCACATTAATCATGCTGATTGTGATAGCTCACTGGTGGCTGCCTCTTTTCCTTTCCCCGGCAGCAGAAAAGCCGTTAGGATCCGCATGTGCGTGTATGTACTTTCGAATGTGTGACTGAAGCAGGGCCGGCGGGCCACGCGGCTGCAATCCGTATCGGCGGCGTATCCGTCCATGCCCGCGCAAGGGCTTCTTCGCATCTCCAGTCGCAGTCCCCACCCGCGGGGATAAATTGTGGATGCCACAAAAAGAGAGAGAGACCAGAATCAAGCGTCCAAGACACTGTCTTCGATTTTCCCCAACCCCTTTGGTCCAGGCTGCCTGGCACTCTTTGTTCTTGTTGTCGTCATCCTTTGACGGCTTTGCTGCCTGTGACCTAGTCAATTGAGCAGATCGATCGGGTCAACATCGAGTTTATTCCGTGCCACTCGAGTTGACATTCACATCTGTGGTATTGAGATTTGACTTTCCATGATTCTTTGGTTAGCTGTGAAGATTTTTTTCTCTTCCCCCTTTTTTCCCCTCTACCCAGTAGGATCCGTATCTGCTCCAATCTAAATGATGAACTATACTCTATGGAGGCCCCGTTCCTTGGCTGGTTTTGTAACGGAACCTTTCCGTACATTTTTGTGAAGGATAGTAACTTGTAACAGGGCCGGGTGCCCGCCGATACCGGCTCCCGTTGGGTTGGGCCAGTGACCAGACAGAGGAAGTTCAAAAAGGGGATTCTCTCCCCTCCGCCGGCGGTGTTGCTGCGCTCTGAAAAATCAATCGCATTCCATCTCATCTAAGTGATACCGCCATGCAGGAAAACCAGACCTCGAGGGATTCTGTCCAAACTTGAACGGGTGTGGAAAGGGCTAATCAAGGCATTCCTGGCTAGTGAAGAGGCCGGAACGTCCCGGTGTCTTGATAGAGTTTGACCAGGTGGAATTTCACGCCCTTCGAGCGATTTTAACGAGCAAAGGAGGGGCTTGTCCTCTGCAGGGCGGGGAGTGAATCGAGTAAATGATCTCCGAAACTCCGACCGCAGGCAGGAAGCAGTACGGTACTCGAGCACTGTGCACCGTAAGTACAGAGGGAATTGGTTAGGTATGCGTATGCAGGAGTTGTCTGCCTAGCACTCAGTAGATTAACTATGTTAAGTTATCTAACAGTAGGTGAGTAGTCCAGTCAACAGGCACAGCAGGTGAGACAGGAGGGTGAGGCTCTTGCTCAGCCCCCAAAAGACAGCCCGGGGGCACAGCTGAGACTGTTGTGCTTCTCCCAATGCAGACCCCGACCCTGCGAGGTGGTTGGTCAATGGATCCGGTGGATGAACCGGTTTCATCATCGTCGACCATCCTCCAGGCTGGATCCTGGGACCTTTTTTTTTCTTTCGTTTTTCCATTCTGCATTCTGGCGGTGGAGGTGAAGAGGGATACTGGCCAGTGACATCCCCCGCCAGTGTACCTGGACGGTAAAGGGTGGTATTTGGACGGTACCGCCGTCGTCAACCGACTTCGCAGGCTCACTGCCTGCTCCAGGCACGGGAATGCCTGGGGCTCCGACCGGCCCCACCGGCAGAGGGTGTGCACCCAATGAGGACTTCTATAGGCCCTATGACTCACACCTGCTGACCGCGCCAAAAGTGCGCTTGTCCCCAGACGGTTAGAGCGACAGGCGGGGAGCAGAACAACGCTGATTGGTGTCCATGAAATGGTACTCGGTTTAAGAAGTGCCTGGTTTCCCTTCGCTGCCTGGCGCTTCTCTTTTCCCTCTCTCTTTTTTTTTTTTGACATCCGGTCTTTTTTACAACTTCAACACCACCACCACCATAGATTCACCTCTCCGTCACCATACAGCCATCATACAACGCGACTTTTTCTGATCCATCCATCCAAAATGGCCTTGTAAACGCCTTTCCGCGGTTACACTCGTCTTTCTCAACAGAGACAGACATCATAGATCCTCTTCGGACCTCGTCTTTTTTTCCCCCTTCGTCAACCCCCCCTTCAGAGTTTCCTGTCCCAGGACCTCTGAACTTCAGCATCGCATCGCGTAGCTCAAGTTCTCCCACTCGCACGATTACCCCGTTCGACCTTACGTCGTTCACCACGGATAACTTTCAGCAAACATGGCTCCCCACGCCCCCGTCTCAGCAGCCACTGGCTTCAGTTCCGAACAACAACAGCAGCAACAACAACAGCAACAACAACAATCTTCCACAGGAAGACTTTGTGCTATTCCCAGCGTCGCAGCCTTCACCCAGGGACTCGCGTGCTCCAGCACCACGGAATCTTACCCTTAATTCTTCGGCCTCAGCAAATCTTCTGGTCCCATCTGGGCTACCTACTCGACGACACTCATCAGCGGTACATCACCGGCTCGCAGCCTCGCCTAGTCAGGTTCCATCTTCCAGAATAGCGCCTTACGGTTCCGGGTATCATCTGTCTACTACGTCTCCTTGGTCTCATCCTTACGCACGGAAGCCAAATTTGCGCCAGTACGCCGCGCCAGCCGCTTCGCCCTCTACTGCCCATTTCAATCGTCCTCCAGTTCCTCTTTTCAACGACAACTCTACCACTCCAAAACTCCACGATCAGATCCTCAGAAAACAGCACCTACACTATCTAAAGCGATATCAAAACTACCTCAATAAACAGAATCACCGCCGCAACATGTCTACCTCCAACATTCCTCAAGGTGAGCACAAAGCGACGAGCCGGATGGCTTGTGTCAGTATCGCTAACATTCGAATCGCAGACCTCTCCGAACTCTTCGACTTCCAGCCCGGCTCCATGGAGGCTACCATGCTCTCTCCTCAGATGATCTCTGGCAACTTCTTCGGCCAGGGAGTGGAGGCTGCTCCTCCGGCCACTGTCTCGCCGCAGGACCTCTTCCTCGATGCCTCGTCTCTCGCGCCTCCTCCTTCGGCCACTTTCACTGATCTGAGCACTCCTCCTTTGGCTACGCCTGGCAGCTTCAGCCAGAACACTTCTCCTCTATTCACGCCTGAGATGGAGTTGATGACTTCTGTCGAAGACTGGGATGCTTTGTTCCCCATTTCGCAGGAGGTGAACCGTCTCGATCAACTTATCGACCCTGTCGAGATGATTCCGGCTATAGACTCGGGCGAGATGATTCCTCCCTTGCCGCCTACCAAGTCTATGGGTCCCCCGCATTCTCCCATCATCAGGGAAAGCGCCTCGCCCATCATCAGGCAGAGGAAGTCTCCGGCTCCAGGTTCAGGTGTCGCAGCTCGCTCTATTTCGCCTCCCACTACCCGCGTCAAGCACTCCACCGTCGCTGGTGTCAACAAGCACTCTACTGTCACTGGTGTCAACGGTCGTCAGCGCAAGGAACTGGCACCCATCAAGTGCGATCAGAGCGATCCAGCCGCCGTGAAGCGGGCTCGCAACACTGAAGCGGCTCGCAAGTCGCGTGCTCGCAAGTTGGAGCGCCAAGAAGAGTTGGAGCGTCGCGTCGCCGAGCTCGAAGCGTCCCTCCTCGAGGCGCAGCAGAGTGAGCAGTTCTGGAAGATGAAGGCTCTCGCCATGGAGGGCCATTAAAAAGTTTATCGGATTTTCTTGTGTATGTTCGCGGGTCAAAGGGTTTTGTTTTAATGTGTCTGTGCTCATCGTGCACTTGTCGTTTATTTGAGTCTTGTGGACGGGGGCGTCGAGCCTTTTGTCTGTCTCCCGTCAATAGCAGTCGATGACCTTCAATCCTCGCCATCAACCACCGGCTGTTCGACCTGCTATTGACGGGATAAAAAGTTTTTACATCTGTCACTTTATCATGATCGGTCACCGTGCTTGTCTCGCTGCACTGCCAGACCTTGTGTTGTACTTCTCCTCGGGTGGGCCTGCCTCTTGGTGTGTTTCGCTTCTTACCCCAGTTCAATCAGCTGAGGGTCTCGTTCTTCGGATATGTCGTTTTGTTAAACGGCCGGTTCTGATGTCTCCTGTATATATGGATTGACTCGTGGCCTTAATATCTCTCTATTCCTGTGTTGAGTCTCAACCTTTACTTTTGTTCCCACTCAAGCTTGATATTTGTACCAGATTGTGACCTTCACGGACTTGCTTATCTTGCTATTTTCGAATGCTCTCTACTACATTTCCTTGCTTGTATGTGTCTTTCTCCTTGGATCAATCTGGCCGCCTATCTCACTGGGTCCTTTTGATGCCTTGAAGGAGACACCACACTGTCATGTTTTTAGGTAGCTGGCTGAAGGCTTCGATCGTGTGGTCGTCAATTGCCACACGGATTGCTTTCCCCAGGTTAACAACCTTCCAGTCTCTGGACAACTGCTCCGTCTGCCGTAGTTGCTTCTTCTCGTAGTCTAGTTTGAGCTACTGTATCCTTCATGGCTCGAATCGTCCCGTACGTAGCTCTACCACATCGCAGTCATTGTTGCTCTACATTTAGTGTCTATTGCACATGAAGATACTTCTATTGCCCTTCCTATTGCTGGCACAACAAGCGCGCTCTAACTTATCACAATTCAATCCTCTACGACACCACACTCATCGGAATCCCCTTTTACAACCGAATAAACCACGCGAACCACCACCCCAGAATTCCATAACCCTTCCCGCTGCCTTCTCCAAAGTACCTAGTATATCTACACCCTCAACCAATGAATCAGACAAAAGACACACAGCTCAGACTTGCCTTTAAACACACCTCATCAACACCAAGCCCCCCATTTCCCCATTTCCCTTTTGCCTAGCCCATTCCCATCGGTCCCCAGATGCACATATCCACAAGTCCACAAGTCTGAAAGTCAGTGCACCCACTCACACACTCACACTTATCCTCAAACACAGTCATGCAGTTTCTTGAATTCAAAGTTCAAGGAACAGATATACAGTGAGGGAGTTCCAACGTCTCGCAATCGGGAAGTACACTATCCCTCTGTTTCTTCCGGCTGTGGAAGAAGACAGCGGGCGGTTGCAGTCCCATGCTGTTGGTCACTTGCAAATGGCATGTGTTTGTTGGTGTGGATTATGGAGTATCTGAATAGTGACTACCTTCCTTTCGGGGACTTGAGATAGGCAACCCGGGGGAGGAAAGCGAATGGGTAGGAAGAGGAAAGCAGGACTAGCTAGAGGGGCTGGGTCTCGGAAGTATCTGATTCTTGGGGTTTGTCATCATCTGCTGGTCTTTCTTTTGTTTGTTTCTGGCGAGGAGATTGTGGGTGAAAAGGGGGGGATTGGATTGTGATCGTTTGTTCTACTGTCTCGGGGGGTGAGCAAACGGTGAAGGGGGGTAATGGAGTTATGTTCTGTTTTTGTTATATTCAGCTGAGCGCATCGGTGCCTTTTACTCTACCCTTTTCCATCTTTGCGGTTCGGGATCCGAATTGGATGGCGCGTTTCTTCTCGCGGGCGACATTGGTCATGCCCAGACGGAGAGCGACCAGGCGCAGGGCTTTCTTTTCGGAGTCCATTCCGGCTTCTGCATCTTCTTCTTCTGATGTGGTTTCACTGGCGGCGGTGGTTCCGAAACCGCATTTCTCCCAGACGGGGAGTTGCACGACCCAGGAGACGAAGTCTTCGTCCAGGAAAGGGAAGCGCGCTTCGCGGCCCCAGTGGGCGATGACTCGATTGTCACGGCCCAGGTTGCGCTTCCCCAGGCGACTCACATCAAGGTTGATCTCGTCAATCAGACCGGCGAATCCGTCGCGCGAGAAGGCAGCCCCATGTCGTGAGTAACCTGCAAAGAGCTCGTCTGCACCGAGACCGGAGAGGAGGACGCGGGCGGAGGTGGTGTACGAGGTTGGTTCGTGATTGCCCTCTGGCCGGTGGCTATCGTACGCTTGGCCCTGTCCGCGGGAGGCAAAGTACAATGCGCATGCAATAGACAGATCCATCTCCGTGTTGTGCGGCCTCATTAGCCGCTTCACAGTGTCTCGGTGCGCGAGAGTTTCTGTATACGGGATGTCAATGGCGACGAAGCGCCAATTTCGACCGGGGCAGACCCGCTGGAGCTCGGCGAAGGCTGCTCGACCCGTCATTCGATCGGGACAGCTTTCATACACGGAGCCTATATCCCCACCTCCACCTTGTTTGGCGGCCGCAGCTGCAACCCGTGGGTTCTCGAAAGCGACGTTAAGTAGGTCGATTGTTTCGTTTTCAGGGAGGATCTCGTGGGAAAGTCTGGCGAGCAAGGAGCAGTCAAGTCCTCCTGAGAACAAGACAGCAACTTTGACTCTGCTACCGGTCGGTGATGTCGGAGGTTCTCGCACATTGTTTATTCGTAACGCTAGGGATTGGCGCAGCTTCTGTTCCAGGGCTGAGATGACTGGAGTTTCGGTAGTCAGTGGTGGAGCGGTGGATCCTTCGGGAAGAGATCGGTTCATTGGAGGAATGGGGTTTTTCTAGTTTGTTGTTAGCAGTCGCGATCACTCAAAAGATGTGAGAAGAGCGCATACTGGACGAAGGGGGGATTCTTCCTGATCCCAGAACAGGGTGTGTATGCTGTCCGTAGAGAAAACGACAGCACTGCCGCTGGCTCTTGAGCCTGAGCCTGAGGGACTGAAAGCATGCTCGAGGCCGATCATATATACTCCATCCGTCTCGACCTCGGTGAAATGAGTGGTAGTTGTGCTGTCACACAGACTACAGACCTTGAAGTTGCCCTCATCATCAACACCCTGCAACAGAGAGCGTCGTCCCAGACAGTCCCTGGTGAAGTAGATCTTCGAGTTGACAGCATCGTAGAACACAAAGGCGAAAGGGCCGGAGATACTACCGATGATATCCACGACCCTTTGGACGACATCCGGAGAGTCCTGCTGTTCCGTAGAGTCTGCATTCGGCCTGTTGACGGCTTCCAACAAGAGACTAAAGATCAGTTCAGCATCATTGCCCTTAATCGATTCACCTTTGATCTTCCAGGCGTCACCATTGAAGCAGAGCACAGATGCGGTATTCGCATCTACCAGAGGTTGAGGGACCACATGGTCGCCTCTCATCGACAAGACGGTCGAGGCGAAGCTAAGAAAAACAGTTGCGGATGCTCCGCTAATTGTTTGATTGTTGCCGATCACATTGTGTTCCACAGTGTGGACGTGGTAGTTGTCCGGTCCCCTGCACCGTAGCAAGCAGCAGGTCTCCTCGTTCGGAAGTACAGCTTGCGAAGCTCCAAGCGAGAAGAAGATACCACACATGATTGTTGACGAAGGAGAAATGGCGAAAAGCACAGCCAGAAAGGCGGCGGAGGTCGGGGCAATAATGATCCCCCGGCCGCTGATTGCGGGCTGACATCCTCGGAGCTGTCGGGGACTCGGAGCTCATCTTCCCCTCATCTCCAGACAAGCGCTTGCTGTACAGGTTTGAAATTGCTTGCTTACTCTTGAGAGTGGTGACTGCATGTATGTACAGTACTGAGTCCAACTGATCCTCTCCTTCTGCTTCTACAGTTGAGGCTGATGTCAGTTGCCGCGCGACAGCTCCGACGTCCCCGAATGCCCCCACTCCAGGATGATCCGTGTTGCTACCTAACGCATTCTTTCTAAAATTCTTGCTTGACGTCGACGTGCATGCCGGTAGCTTATGTCTGCCACAGAACCCTCGGAGTCGCCGGCTTCCCCTATCCAAGGGGAGCACCATCAGCCCATTCTCGATGAAGAAAGTCGCAGTGACCCTCAAGTGACTACTACCGGCCTCGAATCAACGGCGCAGGGTCAGGATGATATTTCTCCCCAACCTAAGGATTCCAAACCAATCGAGATGAATCAAGACCCTCAACCCGAGGCGCAGAGCGCCGCTACTTCCCCGCATCCACCCTCTACGCCAGCCGAGAATCCGCAGTCACTTCCGGAGAAGTTGCAGGGGCTTTCGATCGTGACTACCAAGGCCCCCGAACCTGTCGCAACCCCTGGCACCGACATACCTCCCACACCTCCTGCTAAAGACGAGTCGTATTTCACTTCGAAGAACCAATCTGCTGGATCCACCCACTCCCCTCTAACTGCCCTCTCCGAGAAGACCAACAAAGAATTACCTGAGGTTCCCGGCGATGTTGAAGGACGGATCAAGAAAGATACAGTCGGCGGAGGTGGGGGCCAGGATAGCGATTCCCAGTCAGAGATTCAAAGTATCATCGACCAGTTTCAGGACACGGCACATGCCGACAAGGAGGAAACCATCATGTCACCCCGGCTGGAGTTGGCGGAACAATTCTTCGGTGGGCCGGGTCATTTTCCGCCACGCCAATCAAGCCTAGAACACAGCAAGGCGAGTCCAGAGGAGATGTCTCTACCCGGGACCTCGATCGCCTCGCCCGAGAAGCAGTCCTTCAAGTCTCTACGTGAGAGTTCCATCACCGAGGAAGCAAGGTTGAGCCGACGGTCATCAACCTCGACGATTCCTCCACCCCCTGAACCCGAATCTGATCAACCATTCGACTTCCATCGCTTCCTGGAACAACTACGGCATCGCACGGCAGACCCGGTCGCCAAATTCCTAAGATCCTTTCTGAACGAGTTCGGCAAGAGACAATGGATGGTCCATGAGCAGGTTAAGATCATCAGCGACTTCTTAGTCTTTATCACCAACAAGATGGCTCAGTGCGAGGTATGGCGCGGTGTCTCTGACAGTGAATTCGACAACGCCAAAGAAGGTATGGAGAAGTTGGTTATGAATCGACTATACTCTCAAACATTCTCCCCGGCTATACCTGGCCCGCCTACGATCCCCAGAAGCGCGAGCAGAAGCAAGCGGAGAGAGCTGGAAAGGAATCATGGGCCATGGAGGCGGGGACAACACCAAGAGGACATTGAGCGGGATGAAGTCTTGGCTCAGAAAATGCGCATATATAGTTGGGTGCAAGAGGCGCACCTGGACATACCACCTGTGAGCACACATGGTCGGCGCTTCCTGAATCTGGCCCAGCAAGGTTGGTGCAGTTGATTGCTCTCCCAGGGTGACTGCTTACAAGGTACAGAACTTCTGAAGATCAACGGCTACCGGGCGCCCCGCGATAAGGTCATTTGCATCCTCAACTGCTGCAAGGTGATTTTCGGTAGGTGAACAACATATCCGCAGGGTTAAGAACGGAATATATTGACAGTCTCTCCAGGCCTGCTAAGAAACTCGAAGCGATCCGATACGTCGGCTGATTCGTTCGTTCCGCTCCTAATATATGTGGTGCTGCAGGCCAACCCTGCGCATTTGGTATCTAATATCCAATACATTCTGCGCTTCCGTAACCAGGAGAAGCTCGGGGGCGAAGCCGGTTATTACCTATCATCCTTGGTCAGTCGACCATGTCTGTCACGTTTCCGCTTTACGGCCGTATTCTGACTTGATGTCTAGTCCGGAGCTATCCAATTTATCGAAACCCTTGACCGCACAAGTCTCACAGTGAGTGATGAAGACTTTGAGCGGAACGTTGAAGCTGCTGTTTCCGCTATCGCTCAACAGAACCGCGAATCGGAGACGTTGGAACGCGAGCGCAAGTCCTTGGAGCGCAGATCTATGGAGCGTTCCGCGGAGAGCTCGCAAGTAGCCTCAGTGCCGCGTGCCTCGATGGATGCTCCACGCCTACCTGGGCGGAGAGACACCCCACAGCCCAGTGACGAAGAACAAGCGCCTGTAGCAGGGCTGCTGCGCACCATTCAGAAACCATTATCCACCATCGGCAGGCTCTTCTCCGACGAGCCAGACTCACCCCAAGATCGCCCTGCGGGGTCGGGATCGCCCGCGCGACTCACACCGAATGTATATCAGCCGCCTCGTAACAGCAGCGAGGGACGACGATCGGGTGAACGACCGCGCAGTGCCATGCCGCCACAGTCGACAAGAGTTCTTGATTCTCAGGATGCTGCCGCTCGTCAGGCTAGCGCCGAGGACGCCGAGGCCCGTAGGATACAACGTGCTGAGCACAACAATGTGGTGGAGACGTTGTCGAATATGTTTCCCAATCTTGACCGTGACGTGATTGACGATGTGGTCAAGATGAAGGAGGGCCGGTAAGTTACATCAGCAGTTTCGCTGAGCTATTCTCGAGCTGACACTAGCAATAGGGTTGGGCTGGCTGTTGATGCGTGTCTCGCCCTCAGTGCGGAGTGAAAGGGAAGTTGACATCTATGAGTGATGGAGGATAAGCAGGTAGTTGGAGGCGCCAGTGCATGAAGGAGCTCATGCTGTAGCTAACTATGTGTACTTGACCACCTGAGCTACATGCACATAATATGACAATGCTGTCAGGAATGGCCTTAGCTATAGAACATTCAGGTCGATATCGAGACTGCTTGAGCAATAGCAATTATGCTGCGATCATTAGTCCGTACATATATCGAGCTTTAGCCTTTAAGTGCATCCTTAGATAAACCAAGAGCCTCGGGTTCTCCGATTTGCTCCTATGGAGTACAGTGAGCCCATCCCTTTCTTCCCAATGCAGCAGCTTGAGCCTTAGGCCGGGCCCGGGGAATGAGCCCAGGGAAGCATGTACGTCACGTGACATTGATATCCACCAATGGTATTCAACCACAGAGTCTCGCTTCCGACTAGCGCGCGCTCGGTCCCCACCACGCTGTGTATATAAGCCGCGTCCGCCCGCCGCCCTTTTATATTTTTTCTTCTTTCTTTCTTCATACTTACCTTGTTTGGGTGACTGCGATCAAGAAGGCGGTTCACCACAGATTGGTCCCTGCATTGCACAGCGCGGCGGAACAGTCTGTTCAACGGCCTTCGGGTCATTGACAGGCGTATTCTTTGGCACTCTTCTCTCTTGAGAGAAACCTTTTTCCTTTTCATCAGATCTCGGGCCAGTGGCTCGAGGGTGGAGAAGAGGTAGTAGCTTTGTCTTTGTAGGGATGTCTCTTCGAGTAGACACCGGTGTTTTGTCACTGCGGTTGTGGCTGAGCTTGGGTGTTGCCCCTCGAGAGCTGAAGCTTCGGTCGCCGAGCCCAGCTAGCTACGGAGTCGCGCATGCCATCCCGATGACGTTGAATCGCCACCTTCCTTCCGCCCTGTATATATGCTGTCTTCTTCCTGCTCACAACCTGTCACCAAACAAACAACCTCCCTAACTTCATTGTCTGCTTAATTGTCTCTCCTACCTCAACCACTATCCTACCTAACTCACACCCCTCGCACTTTATCCGCACGCGAACCAATCATTCAGAATGCCTATCCCAATTCCTCCCGCCCTCGACGGGACCACCCAGTCCTCCCTCGGCACCGAGAACAACCCTACCACCTCGTCCACCAACACCACAAACCCAAGCTTCTCCTCGTCAACCCCCTCGCAATCCGACAACGACAGACCACTGAGCAAAGAGGAAGCCGACCGGTTATACGAAGAGCGAATGGAGGAGGAGTACGCGAAGCGCGAGGGCGGTGCTTGATCTGACCAAGTAGTCCCCGCAGCAGCAGCACCACCACAATCTATCTACCTGATGGGATGAATGTCTGTGTATATCTACCTGTGAACATACCATACGTGATACAATACCTCAACAAGTTCCGTCATTCCTGCTCCTTTTCTGGGAATGCATGTAACAAGCACAAATGCTCCTCGTAAAACACCGTAGTTTGCACATCGGTTTGCACATTGTAAATTAAACCCACAGTGGCGTGAAAGAGGTTATTACAGCGCATCTCAGTCCTTGACCCTCCCACCAAAAAAGAACTTGCAAAGAAGAAAGCCCACCACCCGATTCGAACCCCCGCCAGCACCCTCACCTATTAACAGGACATGACCACCCTACCTCGAAATGAGGTCTGAGAAAGATACAAAAAAAAACTGGTAGCTTCTCTTTGATTGAGCGTGTCATCCTTAGTGCAGGGGCCATGCTAATCTTCTCTGTATCGTTTCAAATTGACCAAATGCCCGAAGGCACTAGGTCATGATTACATTGGGATATATGGAAAGCACAGGTAACAGGGAGAGGTTTGATTGGTTGGGAGCTTGGGCGGTGCGGGAGGGCAAAATTTGCGGGGCCACAGGGCTTACCTCTGGCCCTGTAGGTGGTAATCCAGGTGTGAGGGCTGGGTTGTGCTGTTTGGGAGGGGTAAGGTTGATTGAGAGTGGTTGCTTGTGCGGGAAGGTTGAAGGGGTATGGGCAATGCGCAGCTTCTTGAAGTGGTCTGTTGGTAGGGGGCAAGGTCCCTCGAGGGTTGAATTCTCCCCGCTTGTTGCGCTTGTTTTAGGGTCTGTCTGCTTCCCTGGACAACGGTTATTGCAAGTGGGTTAGCATGAGGAGAATGATCCCTCAAATTGACAGTCCAGCAGGCGATTTGGTAGCGGGGACATAGCCAGGGCAACATAGTCCAGAGTGCAGTACAATAAGAAGCAAGGAGAATAGATACTCCTCCGTGGTGCCGGGGAGTAGGTGGGACGGCGACAGGCTAGCAGGTCTTCCTCCTCTTCCGCTCCAGCGTCCATGAGCTTGGCTTCGAGCCTTCTACATATCAACTCGCATCTATAGTCTCAAACATATGTGACTGTGTAGGGCATTCTCACCGTAGTGTATCTAATGCATCAAATCTCACCTATCACTTAACATATTTTGGAGATTCATTGCGACCGACCACCAGGAAGAAATGATGTCTAGCGAACGGAGGGATGCAGTGTCTGAACCGATATCTGGAATTATTCTTCTGTCAATCTAGCCTGCATTTGTTCTTCGATGCTTGAGGTTCGACTCAAAGAAATACAGGGGACTACAAGGGACTCCTCTACCGCCGCTCCAACGCAGGACAAGCTCATAGAAGCGACTCGAGCGTCGGCAACCTGCATACAGGCATGCCGTCTGTTCGGAGTTTTTATTCGCAAACGTGCCAGCTGCAATCGATATATCTACTCTACACATCATGAAGTTACCTATAGAGACTTTAGCTATGTAAGCCCACACCTGCTGCTGACGTATATATGCGAGCATCATATTTCCGTCGACAGAAATGCATAGTTGTACCGGTCTTGTTCTTTTCGCTCTTATACTTCAGACCACAGCAACCGTCGCGCCAGACCAAAGCGACGAACCACTGCCACAACCAGGCCTCCGTGAGCCCAGGCTCAATCTGTACGTTGCTCCTGCCATCATGTTGTACTGACTGGGAGACGATGCCAATCACAATTCACAGAGCCACGCAGACCATCACTATCCCGGATATCCAGATTCCTACATCCGTCGAGTCTGTGCTCAGGACCGCACTCCCAACATTCTATCTTTCCCAGATAGCTGACCCATCAGCCCGGGCGTCGATCGTTAGCGAGATAAGAGACGGTCTCCGCCCCGAGTGGTATAGCACTCTGCCTGCGGACGTGAAGCACTTCTTCTCCACGGCATACACGGCCGCTGGTGTGTGTCATGCGAAATCCCGTGGTGGTGTACCTGCTCCTGCACCGACTGGACTGGGGCCTGGGGTGATGGGTGTCGCTGCAGTGATGGGCGTGATGAACGCTCTTTGAAGTGTTTGTTGGTCTTGCTAAACAAAGGGGATATGAGGGGAGGAGATGGTTACGTGTGTTGCTTTAGTAAAATGGGATAATGATCATTTCCCCATCGGACGACTCTGCTTCTTGACATTCTTGCTGCAATCCGTTTCGTTGCCTGCTTCTGCCTCAAAAAATATAGATCGTCATATCGCAGGTTGCCGTGGAAGGTCTCAGCCGGCTTCCCTTTTGGGGATAGAGGATCTGTTCTGTATCGAAGCTCTACACCTCCACGAGACATAGCTTGCCTGCCCAGCCAGAACAGCAAGGAAGAAAGTGACAGGGGTAGTAGTCGATGAACCATAAATTGAGTCCAGAAAGGCTTCGTGTTTTCAGCAGATGTCCCCACGCCAAGCCTAAAGAAGTCTCCGAGAAACAAGCATCTGAACAATAGTCCTCAAGAATCGAAGCTGTCTAGCCAAGACCGGTACGTATTCAGGTCCCAGTCTTGACTCGTAACCCGAGGGAGACCAGGTGGATATACTTCCCTTGATGCCGTACTAATATCCCTTGGCAAAGTCAGTGCTCCATGCTGCTGGAAAAAATAGTATAACAGAAACTCCCTGCATTAGAAAAATCTCTAGCGTGTCTCCAATCCTGTTGGAGAGCTGCCACTATCGATAAATAGATCCTGGCCCGTCTGGGGCAAGCTTACGGCCTGTGTCCGAGACCGGGCAATATCCGCATAATACACCGGGACGTGGTGAGCTTGCGAGAAAAAAACCTAAACAGGTAGCCTTCGCCGAATGGGAAGCACCAGCGCATTTGCGCCGTCGTATTTACGGCACAGATGCTATGCTAAATGCTAGCACCCCTGTAGTTCAGACAGCGTGGTCTGCACTGGGGCCTTGTGCTGCGGCTGTGCTATGATGTCGCAAGCTGGAGCATGATGTCAACCATGGCAGAGAAGCTGTTGAACACTGGGATGATGTTCACTGAAGCTTGAGCTGATCCAGATGATCTCAGGGTCGGAGATGAGACAGCGTCGGGCAAAGCCCGACGCTGTAACGCGACCATGACGCCAATGAACATGACACGAACCCCGCTCAGGAAGTCTCATAGTGTCCCCAAGTCAGTGAGGCGACGAGCCGTGTCGGATGCGGTGCGGGATTCTGGACAAGCTCCTTCTTCGGTGTATGGCTGCAGCAGTCAGTGGTTGACCCCCTCTCGGGAAATTCCCACCTCCCTACTACCTGCAAAAGGTCTCCAGCAGCTGGCACTGACCACTCAGCAGACTGGTAAATGTCATCAACAGCGGTGTTTCACCAATCAGTCTCGGGGTATTGGGTTAACGCCGAAGGAAATCGAGCGCGGTCCGCGGATGATCTTCGCCCGCTGACCATTATCCACTCGCTCATTGGTGGACAACCAGGCAGCCTGGAAGGGCCTTCCCACGTAAAGTACAAAAGTGGTTTTCTAAGAGGATCCAAAGGGGGTCCCTATAAATATATGGAAGGACTCCTCTGCAGACGAGATGAGGGGTGCTCGTGAAGATCAAGTCACAAAAGAAACCTTCCAGAATCATTCTTCGTGACGACCTCAACTTCCTCTTTTCCAGCCTTACCGGAATTGCAGCGAAGGTCTAGAACTGGAATCGTCCCGGCCTCCGTCGCTTTTTCCGCTGGTCCAGTCCTGACGTCAGGCCTCAGGCCAATCAACACCAACAAACCATCATCCCATTGTCGAATCCTAAAATCCTGAAATCCTTCCATTCTATACCAGCAACCAAAAAACACAATCTCTCCATCATGGCTCTTCTTTTTATCAAACAAAAGCTCTTCCCCGGAAATCAACAAAAAGCTTCCAGCCCATTCGGTTCGTGCCCCACTTGTCCTGAGTTTGGCCTCCAGCCCTAAAAGCATAAGCTAACATACCACTGCATACTTCCAGGCAAGCCGTTGTTGTCCAACTCCGAAGCCGATGAGATCTACGTCAACCGCGACTTGGAGGCTCAACGCTCCTACGACACTTTCCGCCCTGAATCCCCCGTCTCGGATGTGGACAGCACAAGCACCAGCACAAGCTCCCGGTCGCGCATCAACCCGCGCATTGTCTCCGATGCCATTCTGGGTCTGTCGGATGGACTGACCGTGCCGTTCGCCCTGAGTGCGGGTCTTTCTGCTCTCGGAAACACCAAGGTGGTCGTGCTGGGTGGCTTGGCCGAGCTGACCGCTGGTGCCATCTCCATGGGACTGGGCGGTTACGTGGGAGCCAAGAGTGAAGCGTAAGTTGGTTCCTTTGCCTGCCATGCTTCAACCTGCAAAAACACTCCCTAACAGTCATCGCAGTGAGTCGTACGAAGCCACCGTCCGCGAAGCCAAGGAGCTGATCGCCTCCTCGCCCGCCGAAACCACAGCCATTGTCCACTCCATCTTCTCCTCGTACCGCCTCCCCGCCGAAGTCATCTCCGAGATCAGCCACTCGCTGCACGCCTCGGAGGAGCGTCTCCTGGAGTTCCTCATCAGCTTCCACCACAAGGAGTCCCAGCCCGACTGCAACCAGGCCTGGATCTCGGCGATCACGCTTGCGCTGGGCTACTTCGTCGGCGGCTTCATCCCGCTCATCCCGTACTTCTTCGTCAACCAGGTCATCCTCGCGCTGTACATGAGCATTGGCGTCATGGCCGTCACGCTCCTGGCCTTCGGGTACATCAAGACGTGTGTCGTGCGCGGCTGGACCGGACGCGACAACATTGTGGCCGGTCTCAAGGGCGGAGTGCAGATGGTGTTTGTGGGTGGTGTGGCGGCGGGGGCAGCCATTGCTCTGGTGCGACTGATCGACGCGGGAGATGTATAACCAGCCCGAAGATTGCTTTGCGACCCGTCTGGCCAACGCCAACCTTCCTCTCGACCTCTCAACCTTGTCTTCGACCACCAAAAAGTTCACTCACGCCATAATGACATGTACAGATATATAGATACCACGGATATAGAGCCGGCGTTAATGCTTCCATACACCATAATAATGAAAATCTCACATATACTCCATAGACCAAATCTCCTTCTCCACCCCTTCCAAACAATAAGTCAACAATCCTTCCCCCCCGGGGGAAATTTAAGAATCCCCCAGCGCCAACCCAACCAACTCCCTCCCCCTCTCCCCCAACCTGACCTCCGTCAACGCCAACCCCCTCCCGCGCTCCGACATCTTCCCCCACGTCTTGCGCAAGATCGCCACGACCTTCTCCTCCTCATACCCGCCCTGGAACCCCTCCAACTGCTCCTCCAGAAACACCAGGCACGCCACATCCTCCAGCACCTGCGCCTCGGCGTCCACTTCTTGTCCCTTGAGCCCTTCCTTGCGGATCAGCTGCCCGACGCGCTGCGCCTCGGCCTCGGCGATCCCGCTCGCCACGCACACCTGCACCGCCATTTCCGCTTGCCGGCGCGCCAGCCCCGTCCGCCACGCGTAGTACCCCGCTTTGCCGGCCGGGTAGGTCGCGCGCGGCACCTCCCAGCGTTTGAGGTGTTGGGCGCGGATGGCGAGTTGGAGGGCCGAAGATGGGTCGGGAGTGTGGCGGTACAGCCAGGCGGTCATGCGCTGGGCGTAGTGTAGTTCGTTGGGGGTGCCGGTCGTGGGGTCGGTGGTGGGGTCGGCGCTGTGGAGGGCGTCGATGGCCTGTAGGGCGCGGGCGAGGGGGTCCATTTTTTACCTCTCTTGGTTGCTTATTTCTTGTTGAGGGGTTCGTTTGGGGGTGGTGTTATAATTGACTGATGAGCGGTGGGTTGGTAATGTAAGTAAGGTGGTGGTGGTGGTGGGGAGGGAGGGAGGAACGGGAAGTAGAAGCAGATGCCCGCGGCAGGTGCCCTGAGCCTATCTAAGTATTTCTGATAATCAAATGCCGGGGACGGGATTGGGCCGATCTCGGGTCTGTGGGTTTTGCGACTTTATCTGCTATCGATAACACACACGGGCTTTGTCCTTATCGATAACCATGGATTATTTGTACAGTACAGTACTCCGTACTTTCTGAGGCGAGGGGTTCACTTAGACTGTTACATACAGCTTGTGTGGAATTATACTTATTTGTACTCCTCTAGTGACCGTTACTTCAAGCTTACTGCCACTTACTCCCAGATGCTAAAAACTCCTGTCCCCGCGCCAATGACCGCGATGGCTCCGCGCCCAACCACTCCGGCTCCAGGCGATCGAGATTGTCCTCGATCTCCCACCCCCGTCCCCCCTCGACGTAGATCGACTTCCCATTCATGGTCGGGTCCGCTAGCAGGCCCGCTACGATGGTCGCCACGCTCAACGGAGAATTCACCGGTAGCTGCGCCTGCTTCCAGCCTTCCTGGAGGTTCTTTACCATCTCTGTATCCGTCATCCACGGACAAACGGCATTGACGCGCAGCTGATGCGCCGGGGCGGGGAGATACGGCCGCAGCGAGCGCATCAGCCCCAAGACTCCGTGCTTGGTCGCCTGGTAGAGGAACATCCCCGGGGTCTCCTTGAAGCCTGCGACGGAGGAGATGAGCGTGAGGGAGCGGTCGGTGTGCGACGGTCGGTTCTGGCGTAGATACACGGCGGCGATACGAGCCACATAGAGGGCCCCGAGAAGGTTGACGTTGAGGACGGTTGTGGAAGGGGTCTGTGCGTTTTTTGTTTGCTCCGTGTCAGCGCAAGCTGATCTGAGATGGCAGTCTGCGTCTTTTCTCACCTCTCGCACGGTCTCCAGCGTCAGGTCAGGATCGAACCAGTTTCCGATCTCGAGGACTCCCGCCCCGGCGACGACGTGGTCGATCCGGCCGTAGGTCTTGTAGGCGGTGTCGAATAGATCGAGGATGGACTGGTAGTCGGTCACGTCGGTCTCCTGGAGTATCGCTCTCGGGGGAGCGGACGATGACGATGCGGCGCAGACGCGCTCGACGAGGTTCGCACCAGCTGCGACAGCGACGTCACCAACGCAGACGTAGGCACCGTGCTCGCAGCTGTATTCGACCAGACTCGCGCCGATGCCATTTGCCCCTCCTGATTATGGTTGAGTTAGCGTCCGCCGTGAATAATAATTCCGGTGCTCATCTTATCCGGAGAAGGGCGCACCCATGATCAAAATGACTTTGTCCCGCAATGAATCTGCGGTGAGGCTACTCTCCGGGCGAAAACGAGCCATCTTCTATGAATCTGCCGGACGTGTAGCCCATTCTCAGCCTCGAGGAGGGCAATGGCAGGCTTTAATCTTTTATTCTGCGTAAACTGTCGCATTATACTTTGTCTTCCTTGGTTGTCGCTGTGCAGATGATGCGCGCAAAGTCTGGTTTCGGGATACGAATTGGATCTGCATGTGTTCATCGTCATATGTGGGGAAAGCCGAGCCCGGAGTCGCGATATGACAGGCGGGTTTCCCGAGCTCGGCCCTGCAGCTGAACCGCTGAAGAATCCACTGAGATCACGGAGTATGTACCGTACGACGTATACTTCCTTGAAATCATCAGCCGGTCCCGGGAATCCGGATATACACTGAAGACGAGGGGTAACACTTAAAGAGAGACAATGCGTGAGCCTGCTTGAAGTACAAACTTCCTTTTACTACTTGAGTAACCTAAGTTACCATCTACTCCACACCCTCTCGACATAACAACAAAAAACAAAATGCTCGAAACCCACCACCACATCGCCTCCACCAAAGGCCTCTCAAGCATCACCACCCTGATCACCGACCCGACCACCGGAGCCGCCGTCCTCATCGACCCCCCATTCCTGCTCCCAGACGCCCACTCCGTCCTCGCCTGGATCCCCAAAACCACTTCCGCCGCGGGTGGTGCCGACCTCAAAGCCATCTTCGTCACCCACCACCACCCGGACCACTTCTTCTCCGCCAACCCCATCCTCGACGCCTACCCGGCCGCCAAATTCTACGCTGCCCCGTACGTCCTCGCCGGGATCGAGCGCGAGTACGCCGAGAAGGTGGCCTACTGGCCCTCCGTGATGGGCGCGGAGAACGTGCCGGCCGCACCCCGGAAGCCTGAGCCCTTCCCCTTCAGCTTTTTCCTGTTGGAGGCCGCGCCCGCGAGTCCGATTGTCCTGCTGGGCCCGCTGCAGGGCGACGCGGTCGATCATACGGTGTTTTGGTTGCCCAAGGAGCGAACGGTCGTCTGTGGGGATACGGTTTACGGGAGGAGTACGCATGTTTGGTAGGTTTTTCTACTTTTACTCTCTTCCTTTGTTTGAATCTGCATAGCGTGGTGATGATGATGATGATGATGATGCCTTTTTCTTGTTTGCATTGCCGAGAACCTAGCTTCCTCCGGGGGTGCGTTAGAGAACAGTATGGGGCTGGCTGGACTGTACAATCCGATGTGCTATGTGTACCGTACCTCGGAACTTGCTACTATATCTGCCGATCTCACATCCGTGCCCCCCTCCCCCTCCACCGCTTGAGATGTAGGAAACCACCAATATATCCCAGCCTCCTGTTTGCCCCCCCTTTACCCAAACCCCCAAAACCCAAGCCCCAAACCACCCAAACTAACCCATCTCCAAAAAAAAAGGGTCGAAGAACTCGAAACCCCCGCCCTCCTCGAAAGCTGGCGCAAGACCCTCGACCTGCTCGCCCTGCTGGGCCCCACCAAGCTCATTCCCGGCCATTTGGAGGAAGGCTGGTCGCTGGACTGCGCCGCGGACCTGGCCCACACCCGGCGGTACCTGGACGTGTTCGCCGAGAAGGTGACGTACGCGGCCACCCAGCCGGGCGTGCAGGAGCTGTACGACTTCTTCCGGGACGAGTTCCCGCAGTGCCGCGAGAACCTGGAGTTCTTTTTGGGCCACCTGGCGAATCAGTTCGGGGAGGGCGGGACAGTGTGGGAGGAGAATCGGTGTCAGGATTTGGGCGGGAGGACGGTGGAGGGGTTGTGTGGGTATTGGTTCAAATGAATGAATCGGCTCTTATGGGTGGTAATTGGAGGGGGAGGGGGACGAAGGTGTGTATGGCATGCATCGGTTTGAAATGAACATGTACAAGTCATGCTTCAGTTCTTCTACTAAATAGTCATCTACTCGGCCAAATTCACCACTGTGCACCAGTATATTCCATTCCATCCCTATTCATTCCTATCCATCTAATAGTAGTAAGTAATGTATCACGGCATTCATGGGTAAATAAATGCCTAAGCAGACTGCCAAGCAGTAAAGAGAAAAAAGACGACCTGCACGGTCAGTCAACACATCATCCGTGGCGAGAGCACACCCCCGGCCCGTAACGCAAGATGAAAGTACAATCCGGCCTTGAGTTGCTGTCAACGGCTGTCTTCGGGTCACAGCTTTAAAGGCCCCGGTGAAAGATATCAGAATAACAGATCCAAAAAAGACACATGAAAGTGGAATCGAGATGGCCAACAAACCATTAGTGCAACAAAGACTGCGAGCGCAACTGTGTCATTACAGCTTTGGATGGGGGGAGCCACTGGCCATTCGAAGGCGAAAAGAGACATGGCATAGAAACAGCGAAGAATAGAAAGCAAAGGTCAAATAAGCAACCATTTCCGCAACTGATAAATTCAAATGGCTCCTCCAACGCCGTCCCATTGTTAAAGCCGGGTATATCCAGCACCGTGATGCAAAAATGTACGGAGAAATGATAGAGTCTCGAGGGACGGTCAGACACATCGAATCCGACATGACGGGCCCCGTTCAGGGAGCCCTTACCGGTCCCTCGCCTTTAAAAGAGAATTTTCGAAACGATGCATGTGAAGCAGAGAGGGAACAAAAGAAAAAAAAAATGCGAACAAGCCAATGGTGCTTTTGTTGCCATCCCGAAAAGCTTGCTGCTGTGTCGCTCGCTGCTGCTGCCCGTTTTATCTGGCCCCGATCCCAAACATACCTACCCCGTAACTTCCACCGCGGTCAGGCAGAGGGGTAGATATCTTCGAAACGTGGTCCTTTATGCAGTGAAGAGAAAAGCAATCAGTATGTCAGAAGCCCAAAGCACCATCATCATCCGAAGGCCCTACCTTCTTCCGTTTCTTCTTTCCTATGCCATCACTAGCCGAGTAAAATGCACCGTCATCATCGTCATCTGCGTAGCCTTCGCCGTATCCGACAAAGCTATTGTCGTCGTAGTGCCGTTTGCGCCCCCGACTGGGTCGACTCCGTTCCGCGTCTGAGACACCCGGCCCAGGAGTCCCATTCGCTTGCATTCGAGCTCCATTCGGAGGTGCAACAGCCTTCTTGCCAATATCACCGCCGCCGCCAGCATGCTTAGACGGTTTTTCGTGACCCAAAACATCTTCCCATTGTTCGCTGTTGGGGACCGCACCGGGCTCCATTTTCATAGCCTTCAATTGGAGCGCGTGCAACGCAGAGTCCATATCAGCCACCTTGATCTCCTTGCCAAACACCTTCTGGTTCTGCCATTCCTCTTCGGGCCACATCGTCATCTGTATCAGTCCACCGGGTGCGCCAGGCTCATGCTTCACAGGCTTATTCCGGCCCGCAAGTCCCAGCCCCTTGAGCTTGCCTTCGTAGGACTTCCGCAGCCGATTGATCTTCTCTCCTGTCACCGGATCCATTCGGGCGACGGATTTTGCAACGGGCCCTAGCCCGTACAAGGAAATCAAATCCAGGGACGGATCCGGACCAGTCGCAGTGTAGGCTGTGGAATTCATGAAAGCCACTTGTGTTAACCAATTTCAATTCTCAACGATGAACGATTGCAGGGACAAATGGCATTATGAACTGCAGCGGCAACAGCCTGATTAGGGACTGGACTGGGGGAGACTCTTACAGCTTTTGCAGAGATGAAATGCCGAGGAAAAATCGTGTTGCAATGACTCAAGGCTCATACTACCATCAGACGAGCCTGGCACCACCTCTCTGTCAATGTCCATCGCATCACCGTGAACGGGTAATCCTGTGGCAGCATGATCACGGACTGCGCCCTCCGAATCTCCTCCTGGCTGCCGGTCGTGATCTGTCCGTCTGTGTTCAGCCCCTTGGGCGGTCGCAAACGCGCCACCAGCAGGGACTGCGCCCCCTTCTGAGGATCCCGACCCCATTGACTTAGCTGGAGCATCGGGTTCGTCAAACGAATTCGTGCCGGGTATATGTCCGCTCACGCTGCTGGCGGGGGTAGGGAACGAGTTTGCCGACCCGCCTACCACCGGCTGTTGTGACGGCTGGGTAGACATCGGAGCAGAGGACGGAGGGGATGAAAGACTGGTGGGTTGTGAGGTCGCCTGGCTAGGTGAGGTTTGCGAGGGTACGAAGTGGGTGGCATAATTATGAGCGCTTACCGACATCAACGGAGGTGATGTCGGGGTCTGAGGAATCTGATCGGAGGAGATCGTTGGAAGTTGTGGAGTCTCCTTGAGAGACTCGGGAGCGGGAGATGCTGGTGAAGGAGGTCCTACTCGAAATGATGCCGAGGAGGCGCGATCCGACATGGGAGTGCGGGAAGAGAAGGGTCAGAGAAGGAGGAGGTCGGCCAAAGCCCGAGCAGCCCGCGGCTCGAAATCGGCTGATGTAGGTGTATATCGACGATGATAATCGGAACTCAGAGTCTGATTTCGGTGGATCTAAGGTCGACCGTCCAGGGTGGAGGACAGAGGAGGGGGAGAGGGGGGAGGTTGGCAGATTACGCCGGTCGAGGTGCGCTCAAGCGGGCCGAGCAAGACGTTCCACGACCGTCTAGTAGTCACGCATTCCAATGAATCGAGGAGAACCGTGGTGATGGTGGACGAGAAGCGAACTCCACGGATGAAAGCAGTGGTCAAGTGTATGATGAGAGAGGCGGTTTTGGTGGTGTGTTGATATGCGGTGGTGAAAACAGTCAGGGGGGGGGGGTTGATGAAATGAAGAAAGGCGATGGGGGAAGGGAAGAAGCCCTTTGATCCGCAACTGGAGGAGAAACGGACGGCGAGATGTTGAATGACGGCGGGCACGTGATCTGCGCCCTCATTTTCTCGACTGCTGCGACTCCGTAAGTTACCAAATTACCGTACTAACCTGAAGTTACTGATCAGGGCTGCAACTGGAACTGCAGCAATTCTTCCCTTTCAGGCGTAATTCCGCGGCACTAGTAGCCCAGAACCCGTACTGCGCCGGTACTGGTACTGGTACTAATACTCAACCGATACCGATACAGTACCAGCTGTTACAAACCAAGTGTAACGGGCCGAGAATTCACCCCCTCCTCTCCTCTCGGAGTAACAGTACTGTACTTAATGCAGGAGAACTCGAGTTGCTTTAACCCATCTACAAAACTTGGAGATGAGGACTGCTTCTCTTCAATGATCAGCCGATTTTACTACTGAGTTGCTTCCGTCGCCCTTTTCCATGAACCTCCTTTATTGGCTCAAGACACATCTCATACTACACTGTCAGATCAATTCCCACTCCTATCTTGCAGTGGCGAATTTCCTTCAGGAAACCGTTCTTTGATCAGTGAGGGTCATTTATTACAAACAAGTGCCTCCGCATTTTAGTTCGCTAGACACAGAAGAACCGCCACCGTGCATCTCCACAGTGCAACCAGCCTAGAACAATGCCAAATTTCAACATGAAGAAGAATCTTTTGTTTCCTGAAATAGTGCTGGCAAAAGCGTTGCTCCAAACACCAGAGACGAAGCCCATTGGCTTCCCATGGGTATATTGAATGACAGACAAAGACAAGAAGAAATGCCACGCAAAAATAGCAACCACATTAAACAATGAATTCCCACACCCCACAATTATCCAGGCCTATGGCTACGCGAAGGGAAAACATAGCCATTCCTGGGAACAAAACGAACCCCGTACATTACGACTGGTAAAATGTGGCTGACGCCTGAACCAGTCGTTGAGCAGAGACATCTGGGATATTATCCTCTAGCGTCTCCATGAGTTCTAATTGCTCCTGGTGGCTGAGCGTTCGTTCTCGCCAGGAGGGGACAGGGTACGCCCCGTTGAAATACTGGGAGTATTGATCGCCGATCGTGTCAGTCCAGTTCATCGGATCCACAGTGGCATCGACATAAGCCAGATGACCTGCACTTGTGGACGCCATGCTGAAGCTGGGATCCCATCCGGGCAGGCCAGGGACAATAGATGGCATATGGTTGTAGGGAGTCGATGGGTCGAATGTCATATCTGCATATGAGGCAGTTCTGTATGAAAGCGGGCTGAAGGAGGCCTGTGAGGAGGATGAGACAAGGGAGGGAGTAAACTGGCTATCCCAAGACGATATGTGGGTTGCTTTCATTGGCTCCACAATCGGCATGATCGAGGACGATCCAGTGGATGGCACGTGGGGATAAGGGAAGGATGGGTCTGCCGAAGGGCCCCGAGAATATGTACCAGGAGAAGTACTCGTGTCGGGAATGGACGAGTTGCCGGCTCGAAGATTGTGTGAAAGGAGGGACGTGGAGGTGCTTGCCGGACTTGCAACAGACGGTGGTGTCGCAACTTCTTGTGAGGATGGGGTCGCATGGTTGGACGGCGAGTGTACCACGAAAGATTCTTGAGTTGCGTAGGCTCGAAGGCAAGCTGCCACCAAGCTCTTGTATAAGACCAATGCGGATTCGACTCCTGGCCACCGCTTCGCTGCATGTACGATGACTTCCAATGCTACGTTGAGGTGGCCTTTCACTTCGTCGATCGGGTGTTCTCTCCGGATATCCGGGTAGGAAAGGGACCAGAGTATGGTGTTTAAGGCCATAAAAAGCGACTGGGTAAAGATCCATGTCAAATCAACAGAGCCGGTAGCGACCTGCTCCTTGTGCATGGCGACATTGAAAACGGACGCTTCGTAGCATTTGCGCGCAGCGTCAACTGAAGGCTCGGGTACTTGAGGTGATGGGCGATAGAGGAACACAATCATTGTGTTCCGACGACCATGGAACCTAGAAAATGTCAGCCGCATGAAGGGACAGGATGATGAATTGAGCTGACCATTTCTCACTGAGACCGCTGCCTCCATCGTTCTTGGGGCAGGTTGCTACCCAGTCATCGATCTTCCTGATCATCTGCGTGAACCATGGATCTTGGTCGTTGTTCGGTGTGTCGCGCTTGTTGAGATATAGAATGCGTCGGATCTCCGCCTGAAGAAGTCGCATCTTGAAAAAGTGTATTGCTATACACTTGGGTAAGATGATTCTGGCCCCTGGTCTTATTCCTTCGCGCGTGATATTGTGATCTTCTACCGGTTCGAAGAATTTGACGTTGATATGATCGTGGCAGACGGAGTAACAGTTGGGTCGTCCTAGACTATGCGAGAGACCATACTCCATTGATATGACGATCCAAAACAGCCTCCTTCGCATGTCTATTTCCAAGGGATCCAGGAGCTTGCCATCCGACGACCTCGTGATAGTCGCTTCATCGGTAAGTCCAAGGTCTTGACATAGCTTCACGGCCATTCCAACAACCCAGTAAGCGGCGGTCCTCGTGGGTGTCAACATAGAGTACTGTGCTATTAGCGCCAGACATTGCAAGGAACGGAGATCCCTCCGTCTGAGCGATGCCTCGAGGTATGGCAGCGCAGCAAGATAATAACTGTCCGCTAACCCAGCATAAACCGGGCTCATTTTTTGCATGCTAATCGCTATCACTATTCGTAATTGGAAATTCTGACAAGGGTCGTCAGACCCATTGAAAACCTCTTCAACGTCTTTACGGAATGTTGGTTCGTGTAGCGTGGGTAGCATAGCTTGTGCTAAAGAGCAGGTCAACCAAAGTCCAAAAGGAGTCACGTAGTCGGGCCATACCCTTCACAGAAAAGACATCAATCAAACGGTAGGTTCTGTGCTTGGGGGGTAGTTTGGTTTGAGGTGCTGAGCTAATCATGGGATAAACTTTAGAGGTCGGCTTGGAGCTCTCGGCTGCGAAAGCATGCTTGATCTCCTGTGCGGTCAATTCGGGAACGACATCCTTGATGCTCTTCGAGTCTGTATTTTGCTTGGCCATCTCCATGACCAATCGCGTCATGGCGATGCCACTAGATGGCCCCAGGTATCTCGACTCGTCATTCTCCTTGAACCTGATGCGACCGGCTCCCCGCACCATGAGTTCGGCATCTGCAGCATGCTTGAACTCTTTTTCAAGCTCAGCAAGTTCATTCTCAAGCCTGCGAGCCTTTTCGCGAAGCGATACAATGTAGGTCCTCGATATGGTGCATTTACGGGCCGAATCGTAATATACGCACTTCGCATTGCTGCGCTCGCATGGCGCGCATCTCGGTATCCCTGGGTCGCACCTGGATTTCCGCTATTAAAGGAATTAGCGGGGAATTTATACTATTGCTCTCGAAGGCAAGATAATCGCGCAGAGTAGGAGTGGCGGTTGAGCGGGGGAAAACACGCACTTGTCTGCACCGGGTGCAAGCAGTCAATGTATGCGCGATGCGGCCATCGGGAGTTTGATTGGAAGGCTCCACAGCCGTGGATGGTGCTTCCTTCCATGGGTTGGTAAAGTGAGGGCGAGAACTCGAGGATGATTGCGCCGCCATGTTGGTGGTGGTGGTGGTGGTAGATGCCCCTAAGAATGGGTTGTTCCAGAGATCACAATGCTAACCAAGGTGTATCGTATCGTCAATGGGACATGCCATGAACGTTGCATGTGGCCCGGGGATTATCTTTCAAGGTAATGATGATGAAAGAGGGAGAAGGAAATAAGGCCAGGACATCAGGCACAGATGTTTTTGAGATCTTGATAGGACACCTGACGAGACAGCACGTTCGACATGTTCAGGGTTCGTTCCGACGTGGGCCCAACGGCAAAGGGTAGGTAGGCGGCGGCGATGTACCTGGGGGGGCAGAGTGTATGAGAAGAGGAAGAAAAAGCAAGGGGGAACTTGTGCTGAGTGTGGAATGTTATGTAAGCCACTATCACGACAAGTCGATGATGGAATCCATATTGGCGATCATAAGAAAATGAGAGAGAATATGCAGACTAGTTTTCTGGGTGAACAGGTGGGATGGGGCGAATACAGAGGAGTAGGTAGCAGGAAGAGGAGTTGTTGAAGAGGGGATGATGGGGGGGGAAAGATGGGAAAGTGGAATAGAGGCGGAACTGAAGTCAATGAAAGGCCTCGGTCGGTCCACCTCCCGCTTGGATCTACGGCACGCTAAGCCAGAGCCCCCCCAAATTGTCGTAATTTACCATTCAGAGTTCGGAGGCTCCCAAAGGGTAAGGGTGAGAGTGAGGGTGGGTGAAATACGGTGAACCATACTCGCCGCTTATGCAGATGATGATTGATGATTATTGGGGCCTGACGCTCAAGCATTCAATGCAAGGATGTCTGTACATCTGCAGTGACGAATGACAATAGAATATCGACAACTACGCATTACTGTATTTACTCTAATTATGTGCTACAGCCCAACTAGTCTCTAGGTTAGTGCATATATCAACAGTAGGTACCGGCAGTCACCAGACAAAATTCAAGCCCTATCCGCGAGATCTTGGACTGGGCTGTTTCGGCTCCAATAGATCGAGAGAGAGTCTGGGGCAAATTCGAGGCTCAGCGATTGCAAATTGGGAGTCTTTACGCGACATCCGAAACTACACCCACTATTCTATCGGCATTCTACCCTAAAACAAACCCATCGCAGAGGGTTTCGTGTTATCGATCAGTACCTGAGCCAAGTCATTCACCCACTGGGCCTCAGCTTATCTGCTCGAGCTCGGTTGCGAAATAGTCCGATGCCCAAGCCGTCATTTGTCCTGTCCAGTTCAGTCCAGCCTTGCAGGTCATGCAGCAGGCCGGTTTGTCCAGCATTCCAAAGACACGCCTCTCTTGCTCTGTCCCATATCCCATATGGTGCAATGCAGAGTACTGTACGTGACACAGGTGTGAGGACATCGAGGAAACCCCTTTCACTCACGGGACTGTATCTTGTCTTCCTCGCTCGGCGTTTGCACGGAAGAAAGAAGGTGAAATCGAATGAGCAGTAGTCAGTCGGTTTCCACAGTCTGCAACATCACTGGATCCTGGGACACTACTAGAATGGTCAAAGACCACAACGATCCGTTCTTAGCTTGTCCGATGGGTCCACTTTTCCACCATGTCCACCAAAGCCCTTTCCAACCGTAATCGGAGGTCTTCCCTTGGTAGAGCTCGCCATCCAGGTGAAGCCATCGAGGGGAGGCTAAATTCAGCGCACCAATCGAATTCTCCACAGTCACCCTTTTTTCTTCCAAGCCCGATCATTCTGTACTCGAGTACTCCTTTTGAGATCTCATCCAGAAAATTTTTCATCTTTGGCTTGCGTTCAGATTCGGTTGGCCCTCGTGTTTCGGATAAAGAGATCAGGAGCAGGGATCAGTGAGGATTGTCCTTCCCTCAAGTGGTCAAAGTGCCGAGGCGTGTCACATCGCGAAGATCACTAGTTCCGACCTAACAAGAATCAGGGCTCCTGACTGGTAAGGAAAACCGAAGCTTTTCTCGATTCAAGGCCATGCATGGCAGCATGATCCATGATTCGGACCGTTGGCTCCGTGATGCCGTTATGCAACCTACGGTGGCTGTTTTTAAATCAGCTGAAATGGCATCACCCGAGTAGCCGAACGGTTTTCTAGTCAGTCCACCCGTGTACGGTATGGTATGTATGGTAGTATGGATGCTCCGGCCGTAGGAAAAGGGTGAAAACGTTTGGATGCGTGGGGGGAGACGGTGGGGCTCGCGACTGGACCAAGAGGGGCGTGAGCAGGAGCCAATTTCACCTAGAGATGAGATGTCTGCCAATCATTTCTCAACTAATCTTTTAACACAGTTATCGCGACATCACTTAAGTTAGTACTGAGTACCTTAGTAAGGTATGAGTAACCAGATGGGGGGTCCTTGCTGTAACTAACACCCAGTGATGAGTAGATTTTCTGTCTGCCATTGTCAGGTGGCCTCAGGCTACTTCTACTCTAGTACCTAGACCCCAAATAGGTAGGAACCTCTGTTCGCCGGCGCGGGCGCGGGCCTTCAGGCTAGTCTAACAATTGACTAGGATCACTGCTAGGATCCTTTGGGCTGGAACTACCCGGTACCTTACTAGGCAAGGTATCTACTTCTCTCCCGGCCTCTTGAGTCTTACTGAGTAACTATCCGACCCATCTTCCCACTTTTCCACTTTTCCGAGTACACTGCTCTTTCTCTACTGGCACCAATTAGTAAATGGCTGACAGGAGAAAGAAATACTGGAAGCACTTGATTGCAGGCACTTTACCTCGTCATTCTTTGATATTTATAGCGAACGAATTGTCGCACTCACCGTTCGGCCACCGCACATCTAGTCAATCCGGGCCAATTTTAATTAATATAATAGCCGATATTCCTCGCTTCGAGGAGCGAGCTAGCCTCTCCATACAACAAAGCATGATCTTCGGCTGCAGTCTAGGCAGGAACCCCCCTTACCGGTAATTCCCTCCCGCGTGAAGCTGATCAATGCAGTGAGATCATGTTGGATAGATAATTAAGCACGGTACCCCGTACGTACATGGTACCTAGTAGACAGCCTTAGGGGTTTTAGAACATAATTGTCTTCTGCGACCGTGATTTGTGCTGAAGCGCTTGACTGTGGTAAGAGGAGTAAGAGGAGTAAATGATATGCTGGTGGCTAGTGCTGGATAGAAAACAAGAGTATTATGATATTGTTGTACTCAATAATCCAGCAGGCAGGAAGACTGTGTACCCAGTAGCTCTGCTATAACTATAACTGTAGTTGGTCCAGACTCGAGAAAAGACCGGAGGGGGTGACGTCAGGGTGATGCGGACCGCCGAACTCCAGTGGAGACCCCCCCCCCCCCCCCAAATCTGATAAACTGGAATTCAACCTTGTCCGACGACTCAAACCACACCTGTACGAGTCCACTGCTGCAGTACATACAGTACGGACTACGGAGTACATCGACTCCTTCACGATTTGCAAGTCTAGTCTAGATACATACAGCTCTCAGCCTTATGGCGCTCCCCCACTCTCGACTTAGGTCTTACACAATCATTGGGATCCATAACCTTCATTTGACTCAATGCCCCTGCTAACTTTGTCTCTCTTGGTGGTATCTCCACTGATATGGGAGGTAAACCCGGTTAAGTAGCTTCGAGTAGATTGCAAAAGAAACAAGAAATCTCAAGTATTTTTTTAAGTTAAATCAATGGGTGCGTCGAGTCAAGTCGACGAGTAACCTTGTCAAAGCATAACTACTTACTCAGTAAGTACTCCCGGCGGAGCATGTGATGCCAAGCTTCCCGGGGTCTTCAACCAACTGAACTCGAATAGCACAGCTTGCTTGCTTGCTGAAAGATCCATGATGGTTTGTCCCGCTCGACATCACGATGGCTTCTCACCCCACGTATCAACGAGGTGCTGGCGTCGATCGCGGTCGTGGATAGGTAGAAGCTTCCCGTCTGCCGCTTCTCTTCCCCGTCCCTGCTGTAGAGTTTTGTTTCCTTCCTCCAACTGGCCAGCCAGCACTGGCTGATGACCTCATCCACTTGAGGTTGACGACGACTGGCGGCGAAGGCGGCGATGATGATGATGATAATGATGATGATGAATGATGCTGTAGTTTGGTCCTTTGTCGCACCACCACCACCACCAACACCACACCTTCTTCACCTCAATGGCGCCCAGGAACCGGTCCAGCACCTGTCACTAACGACACCGTGACGTCAAACCACCCTTCCCTCCCTTTTCCCCTTCTCTCCCAAATGCAGCCACGATTTTGCACACCTTCCGTGGGCGGTGATCTGCATCCGGCGAAGGTATTTATTCTTCGCTTTCGCTGTGTTCTTCTACACCTTCTTCACTAGATATTATTTTCGCCTTTCCTGTTCATACCTGGAATAATATTACTATTAATACCTGATACCCAATACCCCCCAATATCCAATCACCCTATCTCATACCCGTGCAGCTATACACATTCCGATCTCAATCCCAATTCACAGGTTGCGTCCTTCATTCCGACGATACCCCAGCGACGCGACCCTTTCCTCCCTTGGCTACTGCTATTGACTCCTTCGCCATCGGCTCCACGGGAATCGCTTATCATCCCCGGGATTTCAACTCTATCACCTTTGCGATCGATCTTTGGTTCTTAACAGCTACTTCACTTGAGCTCCTTGGCAAGACGCCATTTCATAGGCGATCATTGGTCCCTTCGGGCTTCCATTCCACTCACTTTGTATCGTCTCGCTAGCTAGCGCAGAAAGTTATTTATCATGTCTTCCAAGGCAGCGGTTAACCACCCCATGAACACGAAGCAGAAGGAGCAGGTAAGCGAACTCGCTGCCATTGGTGGAGGAACTGCGATACTGACCAGCATGTGATGCTAGGACATCAACCAAAAGCTGCAGCTCTTTGGTATCTATCAAGCGTTCAAAAATGGCAAGCTCCCATCGGTGAGTATCTGCTCCTCCAGCCTCTGGGTGATGAACGCGAACTCATTAGCTCTTTCATTATAGAACAAGCAATGTGACGTTGCCTTGAACACCGCGCTCCAGCACAAGGCTCT